AACAATACCATACTAAAGCTACCAGCACAACTATGTTTATTGCAGCAATATTTCATAGCAAAGATATGGAACCAACCCAGATGCCCCTCAGTAGATGAAAGGATCAAAAAAATGTGGTATATATATATACAATGGGATTCTATGCCTCCATCAGAAAGAATGATACCACCCCATTTGTTAAGAAATGGAAAGACTTGGAAAAAATTATATTAAGTGAGTTAAGCCAGGCCCAAGATGGTTTCCCTTATTTGCAATAACTAGTATATGTTGGGACAAGTAGAAAAGGTCAAAAGATATATACATATGACTGGGCTGACTTTGAACCATAATCCTCAGATCTCAGCCTCCTGAGTAACTAGGATTACAGGCATGAGCCACCCGTGCCCGGTTGCATTTCTTTTATGGCTAGAGAAGTTGAGCATTTCTACATGTGTCTAATGGCCATTCTTTTTTTTTTTTTTTTTTACTGTGAAAATACTGTACAGACATAACAACTTGTACATCTCATTGTTGCAATGGGTCCACTTGAATCCCTATTTAAACTATTCGTTTTTTCCTTTCCCCTCCACAAATTATACTGGTATCAAATACAGTGAAAGCAGGGGTTATACTGTGGGAGAGGACATTCAAAGCAACAAAGAAATAATCTTATAAATGTGTTAGAAACAATCGCATGAAAGAAAAAAACATTTGAATACATATCTTACGGTTCATTTCCCTAACATCAAGTTATCTGACCTTTTCTGCTTGATAATGAGTACATTTCTTATCAAGTCTCTCTTTAAGTCTTTAGTCCACTTATTAATCGGGCGGTTGTTTCTTTGAGGATTTGTTTTTGGAGGATTTAATTTTTTGAGTTGTAAGTGTATTTTAGATATGAGACCGTTGGTTATATGGCTAGTGAAGATCTTCTCCCAGTTCTCTGATTTCTATTGATCTTGCTAGTTATGTCCCTTGCCTTGCAGAAGCTCTGCAGTTTCATGCAATCCCATTTGTCCAACCTTTCTTTGATTTGTTGTGTTTTTGGGTCTTTATTAAGAAAATTTTGGCCTGGGCCAAGGAGCCCTAGGATTTCTCCTATTCCTTCCTATAATGTTTTCAGGGTATCTGCTTTGACTCCAAGGTCTTTGATCCATTTTTTTGTAGTTGATTCTTTTTTTATGATCAATGCTTTTTATTACATAATATTCAGTAGTCATGCTCAATCAACAAGGTGTAGTTGATTCTGGTATAGGGTGATATATAAGGATCTAGCTTTAGTTTTCTACAGGTGTTTAACCAGTTTTACTAGCACCATTTACTGAAGAGGCTGTCTTTCTTCCATTCTATGTTTTTTTAGCTCCCTTATCGAAGATTAGGTACCTGTCTATAGGTCTGTGGGTTTATTTCTGGGTCTTCAGTTCTATTCCATTAGTCCTCAGGTCTGTTTTTGTGCCAGTACCAAGCTGCTTTGTAGTAGAGTTTGAAATTTGGTATTGATATTCCTCCAGCACTGTTCTTTCTGCCAAGGATTGTTTTTGCTATTTGGGGTGTTTTATTGTTCCATATGAACTTTTGGGTTGTTTCTTCTATTTCCTTGAAGAATGAGGTTGGGATATTGATGGGTATTGCATTGAATTTGTAGATAGCCTTTGGCAGTAAGTATTGCCATTTTCATGATGTTAATCCTCCCAAACCAGGAGCATGGGAGGTTTTTCCACTTCCTAAGTTCTGCTTTAATTTCCTTTTTCAGGTTTTTAAAGTTTTCATCATAGAGGCCTTTCACTTCTTCATTTAACTCCTAGGTATTTCATTTTTTATGGGGCTATTACAAAGGAGTTGCTTTCCTCATTTCAGCTGTGCTGTTCTTGTTATTGGCGTACAGAAAAGCCATTGATTTTTGAGGGCTAATTTTATACTCTGCTACTTTGCCAAAGTTTCGAATCAGCTCAAGTTACTTGGGAGTGAAGTCCATGGGGTTCTTTAAATACAAGATCATGTCATCTGCAAAGAGGGAGAGTTTTACTTCATCTTTCCCTATTTGGATCTCCTTTATGTTTGCATCTTGTCTATTGCTGTAGCTAGGCATTCTAATACTAAATTAAAGAGAAGTGGAGAGAGTAGACATCCTTGTCTCATTCCTGAATTTAGAGGAAATGGCTTTAGCTTTTCGTCATGAAGTATAATGCGGGCTGTATTTTTGTCATACACAGCATTTATTGTATTGAGGAATGTTCAATGGATTCCTAGTTTTTCCAGAGCCTTCATCATAAAGGGGTGTTGTATTGTGTCAAATGCTTTTTTTGCATCTATTGAGATAGTCATATGGTTCTTATCCTTGCTCTTGTTGATGTGATGAATTATATTCATTGATTTGTGTATATTGAACCAGCTTTGCATCCCTGAAATGAATCATGTTTGATCGTGGTGTATGATTGTTTTGATGAGTTGTTGAAATTGATTGGCCAAAATTTTGTTGAGAAGTTTTGCATCAATGTTCATCAAAGAAATGGGTCTATAGTTCTCTTTCTTTGATGAGTCCCTGCCTGGTTTTGGGATGAGGGTTATGATGGCTTCATAGAAAGAGTTTGGTAGTATTGGAGGAGTATTAGTGGGAGTTCTGCTTTGAAGGCCTTGTAGAATTCAATGTAAATCCCAGGTGAGCTTTTTACAAAGCTATAATTGGTAGAAATTTTCAACTGCCTCAGCCTTATTTCAGGGGAACAAATCTGTCCCGATCATTCTTTTTTGGGGGGGAGGGAGCCAGGTTGTGGGGTTTGAACTCTGGGCTTGAGCACTTTGTGCTCTTCAGCTCAAAACGAGTGCTCTACCACTTAAGCCACAGTGCCAGTTCTGGTCTTCTAGTGGTTTATTGAAGATAAGAATCTCATGGACTTTCCTGCCTACGCCAGCTTTGAACTATGATCCTCAGATCTCAGCCTCCTGAGTAGCTCGGATTATAGGTGTGGGCCACTGGTGCCCAGCTGTCCCAATCATTCTTAAGACATAAATCTGTAGTTAAGCCTTCTGTATTATAAGAACATATCTGCTTAAGTTCATAGTCGTGTTTTCTGCCTCTGTGGCTGATCCCAAGGCCACAGTTTTAGAATAAAGTGATTTTAGGTTGATAGTGCTCCCAAGTACAACCCCCGTACTCCCAGTGCTGTGTCACACAACAGTCCACTTGAAACCTGTGCCTCAAATTCTAACTACAACTGAAGAAATGTAAGGTAACAACAAACAATAAAACACTTTAGAACAACACAGTATCCACAGTGTACTTAATAAACTGCATTTATAGCACACTAACAGATCATTGGAATTAGCAGATTCATACTAAAATTGTATATGATTTCATTTATAGAAGAATTCAAAGAAAATTTAGAAATAAGCATAGGAAACAACAATGTTTTAATTGACCAGATAATTTTAAAAGAACAAGGAGTAGTAGTATTTTGTGGCTCCTATCTTTCTTCTTACAGAAGAAGTGTGTATAGTGGATGCACACAATCATACATGCATATGCGCACACACATAATATTATGTACGTTTATAGTTCATTTTTTAATCTACTGTGGGGCTCTGTCCCTGAGCTCTTTTGCTCAATGCTATCACTATACCTCTTTGAGCCACAGTACCATATCCAGCTTTGTATGAGCAATTTGTTGGAGATTAGAGTCCCATAAACGTTCCTGCCTGGGTTGGTTTTGAACTGCAGTCCTCAGATCTCAGCTTCCTGAGTAGCTAGGATTACATGTATGAAACACCAGTACCTGGACTTTTTCGCTTTTATTTATCCCACTTGAAAAATATTTTCTGCACTAAGCACTGTGGTAGGCTCTAGATAGAGAAGATGCATGATTAAGAGATAATGCCTGTATCTGTGGAGCTTATAATCTATTCTTCCCTGATTTTCCAAGGGTGATCATCTTTGGAGACTTCAATCTTATTTATTAGCCTAACGTAAGTTTTAGATTGTCTTCTTATGGCATACAAAAAATAGCCAGATCTGCCCTCAAGTGTAGAAATCAACTCATATCAAGAATTAATCCGTGAATCTAGACACCTTAGTACCACTATTTTGGAGTTCTTTTCCTTGGTACCCTTTAACATTAGAGGTTTCTCTGCATTTTGATCTTTATAGACTCCTTTTCTTATAACTCCTAACTTTCCAAAGACTTCATTGATAAGAACAGCAGCAACAGGGGTTGGAAATGTGTGTTTCAGTTGGTAGAACACTAGCCAATGAGTGAAAGTTCTGAGTACTGAGTTCAAGTCCTGGTCTTGGACCTAAAGAAAAAAGAAAAACAGCAGCAATGAAAACGAGTAATATTTTAAAAGGAAAATACCTTAGGCACTTAGGCACGTTGAAAAGTAATTAAAACTTAACAAAAATCATTTCTGAACATCCTAACCTAGTATTGTAAGGAGGACATTGTTACATGTACTTAAAAAGTCCAAGTGAAGTAACTGATGGTAACCATGGAAGGGAAATAGAGAAGCAGTGACAGTTGCCTGAATGGGGTCATGAGGAAGGTTTCTGAAAAGCTATGGCTTCTGAACTTGGGTTTAGAAGATGAATTGTTATTTAATAGTTGGATTGAGAGATTGGGATCATGTAGCGTGTTTTAAACTGAAAATATAAGGCATCTTTCTGTAGAAGTAAGAAGTGTGGATAGAAATATGGAAAATGGTAACCCTCTGTATAGTAGCTTTACAATAAAAAAAAAAAATTATAAAAAAAAAAAAAAAGAAATATGGAAAATGGCACTCTGGATTCCACCACTGTAGAGCTCCCTCTTGGTGTCCTCTCTGCCCTCATTTGTCCTGCCACTTTGCATCTCCTTTTGTTCCACTTGGGAAGGCCCCTGCTGAGACACTTGGCAGGAATAACTTTCCTAGACACTAATGAGATTGCCAGAAATAAAATATTTTACCTATGTGCTTATGAAACCAAATTTTTACTCACAGTACACTATTAAGTGATGTCTTGGAATGGGTGCTCGGGGAATATTTTTCAGGTTGAGAACATCCTCTTGCATGACCGAGGCCACTACGTCCTGTGCGACTTTGGAAGTGCCACCAACAAATTCCAGAATCCACAAACTGAGGGAGTGAATGCTGTAGAAGATGAAATTAAGAAGTAAGCTGTTCCCTTTTTCTTACAGCTTTGTCTGTTACCAAGTGAGCAATTGCACTTATGGGTGGGGCAGAGTGGGAAGAAAATGGAATTAGTCACTCGTCCTTCATCTCACCTCTTCACAGTTGGTTTGTTTGTTTATTAAATGAATGATGAAAAAGGAGGATTTTCAAAAGCATTATGAATAATCAGTGAAGGAGTCTCACCATACTTTTTGTATAGTCTTACAGTCATTTGTATACACATATTATGATTTGCAATATCATGTGCCCACAAGAAGCTAATGTTTCCAAATGTGATCACAATGATTGTGACATTATCTGACATTATCTGTCAAGCTTTTTACTGAATTGCTGCTGGCTTCATGTTCACGAGGGACTCACTTGAAGTGCAGTGGAACTGATGTGTGTAAGGCTATTATTTTCTGCAGACAATCACTGACTTCAACAGAAAAAGCTCCTTTAGTTTTGTGACTGACCTATTTCCCTTCATGCCCATGTTTGATTTTTCATGTGCAAGAGCACTCACTATTGCTACTAGTAAATCAGTGGTTAGGCATGTACATATAGTTCAGCTCCTGTTCCTCTATTTCCTCTATGCATCAACTCAGGCGTCTGGTCCAAGGCACTGTCGGACACCTAAGCCAACACATCTGGGGCCTTGAGACCAGATAAGCACTGCTTGGTAACACCACCATACTACTCGCTTTCTTGAACCCAGGATAAGAACACTGTTGCGTTAGCCTTGTTCCAGGAGCAAAGAACAAGGGTACTTGATCCCATCCATCCCCACCCCAGTTGGATCTGTCCTCCAGAGTATCCTAGCCTGCATTGCAGTACTATTCTGCCACATTTGATGGCTTTGCTATTTTTCAAAACAAATAGAAAAATATAGTATTAGACAACAAGGATTTACAGCAGACTATGTCATTAGAGAACCACAAAAAGTTATTTGTAGGGCTTACTTACTAAGTACATTCATGTCTAAGTGTCCCAAGTTATCAGAGAAGAAGGTCTGTTAGGGGGCTGTGATATAATCTCATTGTACCAATGACAGACAGCCTTTTACTTATGCTAACATTTCATACTCTCTTCTTCAGATGGCTCCCAGGGAATTGAATTATATTAATGTAAAACATTTATGCCATTTCTGGATTTTAATTATAGCACTGATTATATTTAACAAAACATGAATCTCTTGATTGTAGATATACAACGCTGTCCTATCGAGCACCAGAAATGGTCAACTTGTACAGTGGCAAAATCATCACTACGAAAGCAGATATTTGGGTAGGTGTCAACTGACCTGACCACATCCCAGATACCAGCAGTCACTGATGTCAACTCCCAAGATCAATGCAAACTGTGCTATAGCATGTAGCACTGGTACCAATGAATTGTCTACTTGTCTCTTGAGACTGTTCTTTATGTGAGGGGACCAGCCACTGCCTCTTGGAACATGACAAAGGAAACTACTTCAGAGCTGCCAGACTTATTCAGGTGGTTTTTACTTATGTGTTACCAGTTTCATAATAGTAAAGCAGGTAAAATACTTGTTCTTTACTGGAGCACAATTTGGTAATAAGAATATAAATATATAACTCAGCAGCTAAATAGTCATGTTAGGTTCTAAGTTCAAGTTTCTAATAAGAGAAATATTTACATTTTATATCTTCTAGTAAATATGGATGGTGTCAGTATCTCTCAGTAGATCCACTTGGAGTTATGGTAAATAAGTCACTAGCAGCAATCTGCTTTCTTTATTTTTTTTAGGCTCTTGGATGTTTGTTGTATAAATTATGCTACTTCACTTTGCCATTTGGGGAGAGTCAGGTGGCAATTTGTGATGGGAACTTCACAATTCCTGATAATTCTCGATATTCTCAAGACATGCACTGCCTTATTAGTAAGTATTTCAAATTTAGTTTGATTTTTTTTAATCTCTAATCATTAGGAATGAATTGCAGAATAAAGTGATTCGATTCCCTGAGTAATGGTTTGGATGCAGACATAAAGAAATCAGTTAACAATACTTGGGAGCGCAAAGATAGTGTAATGGTGCCTAGAGTGTGGGTCTTTTTGCTAGAAATCTATATCCTGTATCACCCTGTATCACACCTGGGCCAGCTACATGAGTATAAATCCTAATGTGGCTTTGAGCAATACAGTACTTTTGTGTTCTGTTGCAATCTATGTGAAAGCTCTGGTACCAAGAGAGTCTAGCTGACTCATCAAGTGATAAGAAATTCATCTTTGCAAAATTGGAAGCAACTCAAATGAAAATGATTGCAGTGCCTTGGCTGGAATGAATACATAATTAACACCATATAACTCCATGGAACCAGGTTTTTCCTCTCATTTAGGTTAATCGTTGGGTTTTTATAACAAGCATCCAAACCAAATACTTTATTTATAATAGTTGTAAGATTTCCCACATTTTTGTGCTATCATAGCAAACATATGTACTAACATCCATTAGCCAGATGGTAAAATAAGTCATCTTTGTACAAGACTCCATACTAAAATGCTAAAAATCCAAAAATTTTAAATCATCTTTCAAAAACGTTGGCCAATCAGCATCTAAGTTTTAACCATTATGAATCATAAATCCTGAGCAACCTGGCTCAGGAACTGGGTGCACTGGGAAAAAAAAAAAACAGCATCAGATGTGAGGTATACTGAACATCTGATATGTTGAGAGCTTTCTTGTGCCCTCATCTAATTATTAAAATGTGTATTATATGTGTAGTTATTCCTATTAGGCACAGGAGGAAATCAAATTAAGAAAGTACAGGTAGCCTACTGAAGTTAACACAGTTGCAGCTCTTAAGTGATCGCTTCTTCCGTTGTGCCAATTTGATCAACCACCTTTGTCCATTTATTAATGAGCAGGCAGAGAAGGTATTCAAAGGAATGGAATGTGACATCATTAGGATTGTTTTAGAAGAATCACAGATGTATAAATGAGATTTAAAAAATTTGATGTTTGGGGCTGGGAAGGTGGCTCTGTGGTAGAGTGCTTGCCTTGCATGCCTGAGACCCTGGGTTCGATTCCTCAGCACCACATAAGCAAAAAGAAAAAAGCCGGAAGTGGTGCTGTGGCTCAAATGGTAGAACGCTAGCCTTGAGCTGAAGAGCTGAGGGACAGCGTCCAGGCCCAGAGTTCAGGCCCCACGACCGGACCCCCCCCCCCCCAAATTGATGTTTAACAATAATTTTGTAAATTTATAATTAATATAAAATTATTTTGGGACAAAACAGCTCATTGTGACTGTGCATCACTGACATCTTTCCTAAACTCTTATTTAGTTTTACACTATTTGAAGATTGTACCTTGAATCTACAGGCCTAAAATTTGATTTGTTCTTATTTATCCCTCTACCTTCAATATAAGATTCCCTTCTCTGCTTTTTAGCTTATCTCAGTGATGTGACCATTGTAGTCTGGATGGATGAAATTTAAAAAAAAAAAAAATTGGGGGGCGGGGGATCTGGCTAGGAAGGTTTCCTAACCTGATTAATAATCTCCCTCCTCTTTCTCTTCCTCCTCAGTCTGTCCTTCTTCTTCTTCTTTTTCCATAAGTTTTTTCTATAGAATTGATTTTCTTGATTCCTATCAATGACACCCAAGTATGTACAGACTCTGTCAGCTCATTCTCTCCAACACACCCATGCTGCCAGATCATTCTTAGAAAACAGTCCTGTTAAATAAACTTGAATGACTTTCCAGTGGTCCCACAATAGGGCCCAAATGCTTAGAATGGTTCTTAGGATCCTTCATATTTTGGTTCCATCCCACATAGCCAGTCATATCTCTACTTGGCACTTTGGACTCCGGTTTCCATGCAGCAGAGCATTCATTATTGCCCTTTCCAGGTTCATCTTTGCTCACACCATTCTCCCACCTAACCTGCCTTTTTCTCTGCATTTCCGCCCACATCTTCTGCTTTTGTCCTTCCAAGGCTGCAGCCTCACTGCTGTTTCTGAGCTTACTGTCTCAAGCATTCAGTTATTATGTAAGCAGTAGGCACATTCACATCACTGTATATTTACATGTGTATCTTCTCAGAGACTTTTTCTGAGGGTTTTCCAGCTTCAGAGAGGCCAGTTTAAAGTACTTGGAAATTAAACAAGTAGTCTGTGGACCACAATTAAAGTGCTTCTTTATATGGTAATTTATATTTTTCTACAAAAACAAATTCATGAAGTTTGGGTTTTGGTTACACTTACCAAGAGGAATCATTTGTTCAATGAAGCATAAATCAAGAAAGCTACATAACTGTCTTAAGACTCATAATATGAAGGTAGTTATTTCTGTATTGAGAGTTTGAACCTAGGCTGTACATGGCAGTGTATATGCATTTCAATAGCTAATGTACTTATTGTTAGGATATTATGAAGTAAGTTCACATATGTCTGTCTTAGGGTATATGTTGGAACCAGACCCTGACAAAAGGCCGGATATTTACCAGGTCTCCTACTTCTCATTTAAACTACTCAAGAAAGAATGCCCAATTCAGAATGTACAGGTACGTGAATGGTGACTCTTAAAGGAAAGTAAACATGATCAGACTGTCATTTTGAGTTCATGAGGTGTTGATCAGCTGCTTTAAATGAATATAGGTATCTCTTACTTTATCTGCTATGGGGCTTCAGGCAAAGATAACTATAAAGGAAATCCAATTTTCCCTTGGAATTTAATTATAAAATCTAGACAATTACACTGAACAACAATTTTTAAAAATCTCTAGAGATTGAGAGCTTTGATTGGAGACTGACCAACTTCATGCCTTGTCAACTTGCACAGCTCACCAAGAGCCAAGTTCCTTGTCAAACTTTTAGAGTGCTTAGGTATGGACTCTGGACAAGAGCTAGGCCTGCTGCAGCTCAGCCTCTTCTGTCTGTCCTTCTTCCTTGCAGCAGAGTTTTCTTAATTCTGCCTCCATCATTGACCATCTATGACGCACACTAATTTTTTTCTGCCTTCCTCACACTAAGTAGACCCTGAAGTGTTTTCTGTACTTCAGGGTCCTAAACTCCACACTCAAGAGTTTTCTGAGTAAAATGCTCTGCAAACACCCTTTTATAATATTAATAATTTTTTATAACACATTATGACCCCAGTTCTCTTGAATATTTTATTACTAGACAGTCTAATAGATGTTAATATAAAATATTCTTGTTAGTTTTTTTTCCAACAGTGGACTTGGAATGCCATTTTTAGGCTCAAGAGTGCTGGCATATTGAATATATGAGACATACAGATGGTTTTGTTACTAATAAGATTGAGTCAGAACATATAGCTTGATCAGTCATGCCCTTTAACATTCAATTCATATGAGTGAGATGCTTAATTCCTGCGGGTAGGTTCTTCCTGAAAGGAAAGGAGGCAAGAGTGAACAAAATGAGATAAATTTTTCTACATTATTAGTCAGAACTTTGCTTTCTCTGTTGGGAGAGGAATGCTTGATGAGGGGGAAGTCTGGAAGTTTTCTAGCAGAAATTCTTCCCTCCTGATGGCATGAGAAAATAAGAGAACCTCCTAAAAGCCAATGTTATAGCCAGTATTTTGTTTGTCAACTTTCCTAGTTTGATATGAAGTAGCCTGTGTAGTAACTATGATCATGTTTTCTTCTGTGGGTCACTTTCCCATTCATAAGGAACCAGAAGCCTTCAGACTGATAATTAGTAATAAAAGATAAACTTCACAAGAATCATGTCGTTTGGTAGTCAGGAATGGTAATCTCTTAATTACAGGAATGGTGGTTCCAAGCAGCTAGCTAGTGCTCCCTCAAGAAACAGTATTGCCAGGTGCCAGAGATTTGTGCCCATAATCCTAGCTACTCAGGAGGCTGAGATTTGAGGGTTGTGGTTTGTTGCCAGCCTGGTCAAGAAAGTCCATGAGACTCTTAACCTCCAGTTAGCCAGGAAAACACACACCCTATCCTTCTCCCCCTCCTTCCTTCTCCTCCCCTTCCCAACCTTCCCTTCTCTCTCCCTCTCCCTCTCCCCTTCTCTTTCCCTTCTTCCCCCCTTCCTTCTCTTTCTCCCTCCCCTTACCTCTCCATCTCTCTTTCCCCCTCCTCCCCCTCTCTGTCTGTCTGTCTCTCTTTCTCTCTCTCTCTCTCACACACACACACACACACAGCTGGAAGTGGGGCTTTTGCTCAGCTGGTAAAATGCCAGCCATGAGCAAAAAGCTAAGGGACAGCACACACAGGCCTTAAGTTTAAGTTCCAGTACTGGCATGCAGAATAGAAGAAAGAAGTAATATTGGATGATGCAGAATCCAAGCTAGAAGGACTCCACTTGGTTTGTGGGTTGAGTAGTACCTCTTGTATTGGGAAGAGGTGCTGACTCAATAACAGAATACACTGGTAGTCAGTATTCTCAGCAGTGTTCTCACTAGAAGATAAAAAGCCTCCTGGTTTGCACCAGAATCAGCTCTAACCTCTCTAATATGTAGCTAAGAGCTTGAATATATGTGTGTGTATGTATATATGTATATGTGTGTATATATACATATATAAAATCCCTTTCCCATTCCTTTTGTGACATCACTTCTAAGCTTTGCAGTAGGAAGAGAAGGGAAGGGAAGGGAACCAAGGGCAAAGCTCAGTGAGCTCAGCCTGGGGCAGTGACCACAGAGAGTGGTCACTGAATCGCTCTCTCCTTTTCTTGGACACTTGGGTTCCTTGACTCTGATAGTGCATTTGGTTAACTTATCTTCCTTTTAACAGGAGGATCAGTGCCTGGAAGTTGTATTAAAGACACTCAGATGTAATGTACTTTCATCAGCCCAGTCATTCTTGTATGAAGAAATCTATGGTGTCTTTTTTCCCTTCCCCCACCCCCCCCCCCCCCCCGCCTTTCATTTAGAATTCTCCCATTCCTGCAAAACTTCCTGAACCTGTGAAAGCCAGTGAGGCAGCTGCAAAAAAGACCCAGCCAAAGGCCAGGTAAGAAATGCCCTTGTGAGCATGCATTTTGTTTGGGGTACCTGCAGAGGGAAGATGCCTGTGTCTCTTGATTCCTAGGTTATCAAGACCAGGAGCTGCACAGATCAGAAAGGCAAGCTGTGTCCCCTACACAGAAGTGCTCTTAGGAATATAAATATAATAAAATTCTGGGTGTATATTTGAATGAGAATCAAGAAACCTGCAGCTGTTTCCCTTGCATGGGAATAGGCACATGAAGCAATGGCACACTTTACATGTTGCTACCAGTGTGTCCTAACATGTGTCCTGGCTTGTGGTTAGGCATGTTCCCCATGCCATTCCATCAGCTTTCTTTCCTTTTTACTCTTAGGACCCCATTAGAAATCAAACAAGTGAAAGCAAAAAGACTCCATAGTTCTTAGTGAATGACATCTTGTACTACCAAGAAAAGATTGAATAAGCAAAGATGTTCTATATCTCTCTGCCTCAAAGAGAGAGAATAAGGAGGGGGCCGTGAAAGGCTGGGAGAACTGTTAGGCAGTTGAGAGGGATGGGGTGACGTGACACAGATTACAACAAAACTTCAGGAAGGTTAACCAAAGGTGTTGGGCGGTCCTCATACCAGAGTCATCTGGCAGAACCCCATCCATTCTGGAATCCCTGCAACTAGAACATTAGAGCCGGAAGAGACCTGTGAAAAGCAGGGCCTCAGAAAACTCAGCATGGATTTCTGGAGCATAGCGTCTGAGATTTGTTCATCCCCCCAATAGCTGAAATTCTGCCAGGTATTTTCATCAAATGGCAAAATCCTAGGGTGACCCAGAAGATGTTTGTGCCTTCTTTTTTCCACCATCCTCTCATAGGAAATGTTAGCAGCAAACTCTCTCAACAAAGGACCCTAGATGGGAATGTGAATTAGAATAGAATAGTAAAGTAACTTTTATATTTAAAAAATCTCCAGTATTTATAGAATGCTTACTGTCTCGAGTTATTCTTGATAGGAGTCTAAAATAATGATACTTCAATTTGTGATAAACTTAGTAAACTTAACAAGCAAAAATTGTTACTTTCTGGTCTCTTAGTTTCTTATAGTAATTCTACCATGCTCACTTCTTGGAGGCTGATTTAATTAGTTCATTCCTTTGGATTTATAGTCATCTTTTAGAAGGCCCAAATGTGATATGTACAAAGATTGAGCAAGGACGTATTTTCCCACAAAGCACACATATTGGAAGAGGTCCTTACAAACATAAATATTTTGGACACTGCAGTTTAATTCATAATTATCAGTGAATATGCATATAAGAGACTCAAGGCTGAAAGATGTTAAATGACATGTCTGTTATCATACAGTTAGTGGGGAGCTAAAGCTCAAATACAGTTCCTGTCATTCCAAATCCCACGTCAAAAGATGTTACTCTCAAGAGAAGACCAATGTGAATTTATAAAGACCAATGCTCACATTTAAATTTCCACAGAAGTCTGTTTCCCTATCTCTACCTTGGGCTTTTACTTTCATATACTTTTCTCCTATTCTCCAGCATCTGTTCCATTTCCTCCTCCCACTTTCCTTCTCCAGATTATAGCATTCCAAATGTGATCATTTTTATATTAGCAGTTCTTTGCTCTTTATAAAAGTACCGTATAACGGGGGTGAGGAACTTTGGACCATTTAGTATACCACAGGACAGACATGTATGGTTTTCCTTGGCTGCCCATAGCTCTGTATTGATAATTTTATATGACTCAGAAATGATGTTATAAATACCCAAATGGTCTTGGCAGAAAAAAAGGTTACCAGCCCCTGGTAATGTCCAGCCTGCTGATAAATTTCTGAGTCTAGAAGGGGCATTCCTGAAGCTCGTGCCAGACATGTTTTAGAAATGCTCATGAATCTTGTTTATTTTGGCCTTAGCCTCAATTATACTCCTAAAGTGCATTTCAAAGAACACTTAGCTCTGATCTAAGCCTAGACTAATATAAATGGAAATCAGCACCTGGGCTTTAGCAAGTACACCATAGTAGTTCTCTCTTAGTTTGCATTGGAGTTGGCTGGTATAGGAAGTCCTAAATTATCATAGCTTATAGAAGATAGATAGATATTTTTTTCTCACAAGTGAACAAAGTTTGAAGGTAAGTAGGCCAGAACCAGTATAGCAGTTCTGTTCCACAAAATCTCTGTAACCCAGATTTCTTTAAGCACATCACTCTACCATCTCTGTATATATCTACTGTTCTAGATCATTGTGACAACAGCCATATTCAAAGCAGCAAGATTAAGGAATAACCAAAGGTAATAGAGAGGCAATGAACATGAACCAGTTATATCCTATGGCTTCTAGAAACTGCCACATAGCAGTGTATTTTCATCCTGTGTAAGGCTTTATTCATTCCATGTAAACACATGACCACACCTGACTGCAGAAGAGACAATTCTATGTGAATTTTACTCTGGGCAACCCTGAACCTAGGGTATTACTATGGCGAAAAGAAATTGTTTATGCCAATCCTGAGGCTTGAACTCAGGGCCTGGGTTACTTCCCTGAGCTTTTGCGCAAAGACAGTGCTCTACCACTTGAGCCACAGCTCCACTTCCAGCTTTTCTGATGCTTTATTGAAGAGTCTCATTAACTTTCTTGCCTTGGCTAGCTTCAAACTACAATCCTCACATCTTAGCCTCCTGAGTAGCTAGGATTACAGACATGAGGTGCTGGTGCCTAGCAAGAGTTGCTGTTTTTAAGAAAACGATACTCTTGACACATACCCAATTTAATTCTTTTATCTTAGATTATTTACTATTCCTTAGTTTTTATATTGGATTTGTTCATTGCATGCTTTTCATTATAGAGAAACCATTTTGACAATTAGCCCTAAGTTATATCTGAAAACTGCCTGTCTCAAGCCCTTGGTATTATTTTCTTTTGTGTCACACCTGGGGCTTAAACTCAGAGCCTGGGCACTGTTCCTCAGCTTTTGTGCTCTCAAGGGTAGTGCTTTACCACTTCAGCCACAGCTCCACTTCCAGATTTTGGGGAGTTAATTAGAGATAAGAGTCTCTTGGACTTTCCTGCTCTGGATGGCTTTGAACTGCCATCCTCAGATCTCAGTCTCTTGAGTAGCTACAGGCCAGCAAGCCACCAGCTCATTGCGCCTACAGCCATTACCACCCAGCTGTTTGTTTGTTTGTTTTTTTTTTGTATTATTACCTAAACTATAACTGGGAAATACTAGAATGTAGTTAGTAAAAAGGTGGGTAGAATAAGCATGAGAAGCATTGTATTCTATAGAAGGTTCTCATTGAGATTCACCATGCCCATTCACACAGAGTAAGTTGGAAAGAAATCAGACATTTTGGTTAGGGTGCTAAATTTTTATTTGCCTACCAAGCATTTTATTTTATTTTTCCAAGACATGTTGTAATGCCATACATGTTTTGGGGAAGTGTTGATCAAGCAGGTATCTGAAAGATTGGGAGGAGTGTTGAGAAGAAATTATCACACACTCTGCTCACTCCTCTCCTGTATTACACTGTGTAATAGGAATATTTTCTCTCTCTCTCTCTCTCTCTTTTTCTTTCCTTTTCTAGACTGACAGACCCCATTCCCACCACAGAGACTTCAATTGCACCCCGCCAGAGGCCGAAAGCTGGGCAGACTCAGCCAAACCCAGGAATCCTTCCCATCCAGCCAGCCCTGACACCTCGGAAGAGGGCCACAGTTCAGCCCCTACCTCAGGCTGCAGGTTAGTAAATTAGATTGGGTTTCAGGTCTTTGTTATAGAACTGTTGGAAAGCCTACTTTTGTCTTAGGAAGGGAATCCAAAGGCACATAGGAATAATGGGGTACAGCTGTTCAAATAGTATAGCAATGGCTATAAAAAGGGAGATCTCTCATTCTATACTTAGGTGGATCTCTGAATCCACTGAGCCTGTTCTTTGTTTTTCATTCATTCTTTCTTTTTTTAAATACTTTTTTTTAAATTGTAAAAATACTGTACAGAGGGGTTACAGTTACATGAGCAAGGTAATGAGTACATTTCCTATCAAGATTGTTAACCTCCTTCTTTGTTTTTCCCCTACCATCCCTTCCCTCTCACCTCCACAACTACACTCCCCCCCCCCCCAGCCTAAATTGTAAAGTTCATTTTTCAACATAGTGTCTTGTGCATCTCATTGTTAAAATGGATCAACCTATATCCCTATTTAAGCATTTTGTTTTTTCCCTTCCCCTCCCCAAATTAGAGAAGTATATATACAAGATGCAGGGCACTGACATCAAATACAGTGAAAACATTCCTTCCTTCCTTCTTTCCTTCCTTCCTTCCTTCCTTCCTTCCTTCCTTCCTTCCTTCCTTCCTTCCTTCCTTCCTTCCTTCCTTCCTTCTTTCGTGTTGCCCCTTATTTTGTGGTCTAGTTCATTCATCCCATTCCTACTTCTTTATTTCATACATTCCTTCTTGCTTTTAAACAATATTGCTTCTGGAAAGGGAAGGTAGCCCAGTAGTAGAGTGCTTGCCTTGCATGCATGAGGCCCTGGGTTCAATTCCTCAGCACCATATAAGCAGAAAAAGCCAGAAGTGGCACTGTGGCTCAAGTGGTAGAGTGCTAGCCTTGAACTGAAGAGATGAGGGACAGTGCCCAGGCCCAGAGTTCAGGCCCCACCACCGGCAGAAAATAAATAAATTATATATATATATATATATATATATATATATATATATAGCTTCTTTTGTTTTTTAAAGCATATATGAATCATACAATTCCAGAGGTTTCATTGTGATAACTTTCATATATGCATATAATAAACTTTAATCATATTTACCCCCTCTATTATTGTTTCTGAGCTCCTTCCTTTAAATTTTTCTTGCAATTTTTAAAAAATAAATTTCAGTATAACATTTTTTTGTTGTTGTTCTTTTGTGCCAATCCTAGGACTTGAATTTGGGGCTGGGCTTTGTTTTTGATCTTTTTTGTTGTTATTGTTTAGTTTTGCTTTGTTTTGTGTGCTCAAGGCTAGCACTCTACTGCTACTACTTGAGCTACAACTCCACTTCTGGCTTAGTTGGAGGTAAGAGTCTCATACTTACTGGGAAATTAGAATCCTGTTTTAAAAGTTGCCTGTGCCTATATCTTCAAGTGTTTTCCTCATATTTTTCCATAGTAGTTTCAAAGATTTTTTTATATTGAGTGAGAGATAGAAATCTGGCACCAGTGTTCTACATGTGAATATCCAGTTTTCTCAACACTATTTGTTAAAAGTACTGTTTGTTTTTCCTCCAATATATGCTTTGGGCATGTTTGTTGAAAATCAGATAGCTATACCTACATATATTTCTGGGTCTTCTATTACATTTCCTACTTATGTGTTTTTGTAACTGTATCACATTGTGTTTGTATTGGTGACTCTGTAATATAACTTAAAGCGGTGCATTAGCAGTACTCTTTTTACTCAGGATTACTTTATCTAGTTAGGGTCTTCTGTCCTTCCATGTGAATTTTAGGGTTTTGTTTTTCTTTTTTTATATGCTGATACTGGGACTTAAACTCAGGGACAGGATGCTCTCCCCTAGCTTTTTCTCTCAAGGTTAGTGCTCTACCACTTGAGTTTACACTTCTACTTCTGGCTTTTTTGCTGGTCAGTTGGATAAGAGTCTCTTGGATTTGTCTACCCAAACTGACTTCAACCTTGATCCTCAGATCTCTACCCTCCTGAGTAGTTGAAATTACATGTGTGTTCAGTGCCCAGCCCCTTGATTTTTCTAGTTCTATGAAATAGAGTTGGGAGGTGGGAATGTGGCTCAGTGGTAGAGCGCTTGCCTTGCATGCATGAGGCCCTGGGTTCGATTCCTCAGCACCAAATATGCAAAAAGAAAAAAGCTGGAAGTGGCACTGTGGCTTAAGCGGTAGAGCGCTAGCCTTGAGCTGAAGAGCTGAGGGACAGCGCCCAGGCCCAGAGTTCAGGCCCCACAACCGGACCCCCCCCCCAAAAAAAAAAAAAAGAAATAGAATTGGATTTTTGATGGGGACTATGTGGAATCTGTAGGCTGCTTTTGCTAGTATAGCCATTTTCACAGTATTTTGCCAACTCATGGCCTTGTGGAATCTTTATATTCTAAATTTCTTCTGTTTCTTTAGTGTTTTGAAGTTCTTTCTCTATTTCTTTGTCTGTCTGTCTTTCTCTCCTTTGACAATACTGGGGTTTGGACTCAGGCCTATGCAAGTTTTCTACCAATGGAGCCACTCAAGTGTCGGTTATTTAGGAGTTAGTGTATTGCTTTTTACCCAGACTAGCTTGGACCATGATTCCCTTATTTGTGCTTCCTTTCATAGCTGAGATGGCAAGTGCATACAACCATACATGTTTTATAGTTTTCATTATAGCAGTTTTTCACTTCCTTAATTAACTTTATTCCTAGGTATGTAAGTATTTTGAGGTATTAAAAATAGTGTTTGTTTTCATAATTTCTTTTTCAGCCTGTTCATTATTGGTATATAGAGAAGTTCTTGATTTTTTAATGTTGGTTTTACATCCTACTATTTATTAAAAATGTTTGTCAGATTTGAGAGATTTGGGGAAGTCTTTAGGGTCTTTAAGTACAGGATCATATAATCTGCAGATAGGAATAATTAGACAAGAATATTCTTAATTTAATCTTTTATCTCTTGAAGTATCTCACATTTCTGTTCTGCCATTCTGTTTCTCATGAAATAAATGAACTCTGCTTTATAAAATGTATTGATAGAGAATATCAAATAATTGAATATAATCATCACTTCTACTAGAAATCTGCTTTGGATAGATTTAGTTACCATCTACTCATAGCTGGACATCCAGGTGGGAGTTGTATAAATTACACATAAAATGTCAATGTAGGTGTGGTGGTTCATGGCTGTACTTCCAGTTACCTGGGAAACGGATATTGGGAAGATCAAATTTTAAGGCTAGCTTGGGGGATATAAAGTTAGTGAGACTCCCCATCTCAACTAGTAAGTGAGAATGCTAGTGTGCAACTGTCATTCAAGCTATGTGGGAAGCATAAACAGGAGAATCACAGTCCAGGCCAGCTCAGACAAAGATTTTGGGATCCTATCCCAAAAATAACTACAATATAAAGGACTAGTGGTGTGACTCAAATGGTAGATCCATACATGGCAAGTACAAGGCCCTGAATATAACCCCTAAACTGCCCAAAAAAACCCACAAAAAAACAACAACCCAAAAATTGCTGTGTTGTATGTCAACTGGTATAAAGATGTGTTTATGTACAGAGTAGCATCAAAGATCAGCTGACTGTAGATATGCTGACCAAACAGGATGATAGAAAGAGAAGATTTTGTAAAAGAGGCAACACACTGGATGGTAAAAAACAAAAAAATACAGTGGGACATGATAAACTATACAGGTTTCTAAACATTTACACCATGAGACCAAATGAGGACATTCCTAGGAGAGGATCACAAAGGCTCAATAGCTATGTGCATAAGATCCTATAAAATAATATTTATCAAAATGAACTCCAAGAAATGGAAACAAGAGGTTTTATGTTTTTATTTCTTTGTTGCAGTTTTTTATTTCTTTCTCTTTTGCCTTGTTTGTAAGTTTATCTGTTTTGAGGAGGGTAAGGGGGGGCCATAGAAAGGGTAGGCAGAGATACTAACACTGTGTTGAAAATAAACTATACAACTTGTGGGTGGGGATAGGAGGGAAAAACTGGGAGAGAACAAGGGAAGGGGTGACGCTGTTCAAAAAGAAATTCACTCATTTACCTGACTTTGTAACTGTAACCCCTCTGTACACACCTTTATGTGTGTGTGTGTGTGTGTGAGTGTGTGAGTATGTGTGTGTGTGTGTGTAGTTTAACTTACTGTTGAATTCTGTTTTGAAAAATTTGAAGCACATAATTTAGCCAGAAGATGGAATGAGTGTGTGTGTGGGGGGGGGGGGGGAGGGTTAAACTTACTGTTCAATTCTGTTTTGAAAAATTTGAAGCACATAATTTAGCCAGAAGATGGAATGATTTACCAGGTAAAACAGGGAAGCAGGAGCACCTGGATCTTGGGATAATCTGCCTGGTTATCAAATCAGAAAGCTGTTCTTTCTGCAAGAGTTTCAAGTCCTTACATGGAGTTTATTCTCATTGCAGGAGCCAGCACTCAGCCTGGCCTTTTGGCCAGTGTTCCCCAACCAAAAGCCCAACCCCCACCAAGTCAGCCTCTGCCACAGTCTCAGCACAAGCAGCCACAGGCTCCTCCCACTGCCCAGCAGATGCCTTCCACCCAGGCCCAGGGTCTGCCCTCTCAGGCCCAGGCCACGCCCCAACACCAGCAGCAGCTCTTTCTCAAGCAGCAGCAGCAGCAGCAACAGCAGCAACCACCACAACAGCCACAGTCACAGCCACAACCACAGCAGCCACCACCACAGCAAGCAGCAGGCACTTTTTACCAGCAGCAGCAGCAGCAGCAGCAGCCACAGCAGCAGGCCCAGACTCAGCAGGTAAGGTAATCCAGATTTGACCCATGCTTGTGTAGTGGAGTCATGACTGTGAAAAGGACCACCTAGGACAAGTATATTCCTTGGAAAGTGCTGGATTAACAGTCACTGACTGTTATTGTTCTTGGATGTCAATACTAAAGTCCTGTGGAGTGAATTGATCACTTGCACCCCTTTCAATGTTCTTCTCAGGCCATAGAAAATTCGCCCTGCTTGAGGAATCTAGCAAAGGAGCTGATTTCTAAGGACAGACTGGTGGAGGAAAATTTATTTCCATCAAGTATCCAAGCGTATTTATTTCTCATGTCTCCTAATTTAAGTTGACCTGATGAAATCAGGATCCAAACAAGGTTTATGTGTTATATTTTGAGTATGTTTTTTCCATTATTTTTTAAAAATACTTTTATACATATTTTTATTATGAACACATTCATTTGCCATTATTTTTATGTTTTTATATCCCCTCTCCCTCCTTTATTTCCTTTGCCATCTAGTGTGTGTGTGTGTGTGTGTGTGTGTGTGTGTGTGTGTGTGTGTGTGTGTGTGTGTGCGTGCGCGCGCGCCAGTTTAGGGCATGAACTTCAGGGCGTGGGTACTGTCTCTGAGCTCTTTTGCCCAAGGTTAGCACTCTACCACTTGAACCACAGCACTATTTCCAGCTTTTTGATGGTAAGATGGAAATAAGTATCTCACAGACTTTATTGCCTGGGCTGGCTTTGAACCCTGATCTAAAGATCTCAGATTCCTGAGTAAGTAGAATACAAGGATTATAGGAATGAGCCACTTGTGCCTGGCAACTTATTTTTAAGAAAATATATTGGTTATTCTGTGGAACTTTCTACATTCTGGAAATGGTATAATTTGTCATGCTCCTCCATCTTCTCTGTAAACTGGGATTTCTTGTGGCCTACTCAACATTCAATCTGGCAGTTCTCCATTCTTCATCACACATATCACAAGGCCTATGATGCTGATTGTCCTTTTTTAAAAAAATATTAAGACCACTCAGTGTGTTTAGGTATTATCTACTTAATATAATGTTTCTAGGCTTCTTCATGAGCCTACTAGCCATTGCTGAGCATTGCCTAGTCCATTAGTTGTCTAGAGATGGCAAAAGACAGGGGCTGTATTTTTTTTCCTTTCTTTTCTTTTCTTCTCCCTCTCTCCCTCTCTCCCTCCCTCCCTCCCTCCCTCCTTCCCTCTCTTTCTCTCTCTTTCTTTCTTCCTTTCTCTCTCCTTTCTTTACTTCCTTCCTTCCTTCCTTCCTTCCTTCATGGGGCTTGAACTTGGGACTAAGTGCTGTCTCTGAGCTCTTTTTGCTCAAGACTAGTACTCTGCCACTTTGAGCCACAGCACCACTTTTGGTTTTTCTGGTGGTTAATTGGAGATAAGAGACTTGTGGACTTTCCTGACCAGGCTAGCTTTGAGCCTCCTGAGTAGCTAGGATTACAGGCATGAGCTCCCAGTGTCTGGCAGGGTTTGTATTATGAATATGTAAAAATATTTATATAGTTTGAAAGAATTTATAAAAAAAATTTTCCCCCTTGCTGGGCTCACACTTGTAATCTTAGCTATTCAGGAGGCTAAGATCTAAGCATCTTGATTTGAAGCCAGTTCAGACAAGAATGTCTGTGACTCTTATCTCCAATAAACTACCAAAAAAGCTAGAAGTGAAGCTGAGGCTCAAATGGTAAAGTTCTAGCCTTGAGCAAAAAAAAAAAATAAGCTCAGGAACAGTGCTCAGGCACTGAATTCAAACCCCAGGGCCAGAGCAACAACAACAAAATTCATGGGCTGGGAAGGTAGCTCAGTGGTAGAGTGCTTCCCTTGCATGCATGAGGCCCGGGGTTCGATTCCTCAGCACCACATAAGAAAAAAGAAAAGGAAGAGGAAACAAAGGAGGAGGCCACAATGCTTGATAAGAAATGTACTCATTAACCTTCCCATGTAATTGTAACTCCTCTGTACAGCATTTTCACAATAAAAAATAAATAAAAATAAAAAAAAAAGAAAAAAGCTGGAAGTGGCGCTGTGGCTCAAGTGGTAGAGCACTAGCCTTGAGCTGAAGAGCTGAGGGTCAGCGCCCAAAAAAAAAAAAATTCTTCCCCCTCTAACTTATATAGAGCTAGCCCTCATTCCTGTTTACAGCTTGGTCATGTCCATTTGATACCCTTTAGAACATAATATAGTTCATCCATTCTCCTGTTGATAGAACTTGGGTTGTTTTCAGCATTTTGCTGTTAGAAATAGACAGCGTTATTTTAACATATTCTTTTGCTAATCCTTTAATTTTGTATCACTTGACAACTAGTATCCTCCCAATTAGTTCAAGAAAGGAAGAAAGAACAATATTTGGGATTTTCCAAGACAAGATTTTGACTTTAGTTTATTAGCAGATCCATATTTTGAGCTTTGTTTTATGCTGAGCTCAAACTCCCCAGCATCAAGGATTAAGGACACACATAGAAGTGCCACAAAACCAGGTACCTTTACAATCTGTACTCCCAGTAAGGCTGCAAGGCTGGGGCAGGAGGATATTTTGAGCCAACAAGATTGAGGTTAGCCTTGGCACATCGTGAGAGTACTGTTACAAAAAACCGTAAAAATGTTTTAGAATGTGCTGAATGCTTTGATTTTTTTCCAGTTTTATTTATTTTCTTTCTTAAAAGAAATTTTTGGAAATGAAGCTGTGACTAAAGTGGTAGAGCACTAGCCTTAAGCACTAGCCTTAAGCTCAGGGACAGTGCCCAGGCCCCAAGTTCAAGCCCCAGGACCAGCACCCTCAAAAAAAAAATTGTTTGTATTATAAAGGTGATATATAGAAGGGTTACAGTTACATAAGTCAAGTAAAGAGTACATTTCATTTTGAACACTGTCACCTCTTTCCTCACTCTTTTCCCAGTTTTCCCTCTGCTTTTTTTTAACCAATACTTGGCTTGAAATCAGGGCCTCACATATTCACTGTGCTTTCTTACTCAGAGCTACCACTCTGCCTCTTGAACCATACCTTCAGTCTAGCATTTTGCTAGTGATTTGAAGATGAAGTCTTTTTCTGCTTGAGCTGGCTAGCTTCAAACCACAATCTTACAGGTTTCAGCTTCCTGAGTAGCTAAGGTTAAAGGTGTGAGCCACTGGTTTCTAACGATATTTTGAATGATTAAAAATGTCATAGTTTCCTAAAGATAGAGCTATTGCAAAATAATTTCCAAGAGCCTTGAAATGAATCTTAGCAGCTAGGTTAATGTTGAGGTTATCCTTTCAATGTCATCATTGCTTCAGCCTGTCCACACAGGAGCATTTTAATCTTGCCTACTTCAAAACCCTTATTTATTTATTTATTTATTTATTTATTTATTTATTTATTGCCAGTCCTGGTGCTTGAACTCAATGCCTGGGCACTGTCCCTGAGCTTAGGGCTAGCACTCTACCACTTGAGCTACAGTGCCACTTTCAGCCTTTTCTGTTGATGTGGTACTAAGGAATTGAACCCAGGACTTCATGCAAGCACTTTACCACTAAGCCACATTCCCAGCCCTTCAAAACCCTTTTATAAGAACAATTCCTTCTGTGATTGAGAAGTCATTTGTTTGTATCATGGAGTTATGTGTGATGTTTAATCCCATAGCATCCCTTAGGCTAGGCCTGGAAAGTCAAAATGCTTATTATCCCAGCTACTTAGTAAGCAGGGGTCAGAGGACCATGAGTTCAAGGCTAGTCTTGGTAAAGTCAGTGTGACTTTGTCTCAAAAACAAAATAAATAAAAAGTTACAGTGTAGCTCAAGTGGAGTACACTTGCCTAGTATGTAAAAGACCATGGATTTAATCCCTAGTACATTAAAAAAAAAAAAAAAGGCCAGTCTAGTGCAATAGATAAGACTTGGCAATATACGGTGCTTCTGGGTTTATTTTAATGCCCTGAGATTTCCATCGTAAGTATTTATGCAGGCTTTCTCTTGGTGGCTTCAACACTGATCTTAATTCATCTTTTGTGGATGTGGTTCAGTGATAGGCTCTAACTGGCTTCCTCATTTCTTGCTTACTTCTGCCCAGTTCCAAGCAGTACATCCAGCAACCCAGCAACCAGCAATCACTCAATTCCCTGTTGCATCCCAGGGAGGCTCTCAGCAGCAGCTGATACAGAACTTCTACCAGCAGCAGCAGCAGCAACAGCAACAGCAACAGCTGACCACAGCCCTGCATCAGCAGCAGCTAATGACTCAGCAGGCAGCCCTGCAGCAGAAGACTGCTGTGGTGGCACCACAGCCCCAGGCCCAGCCAGCAGCGGCTGCACAGCCGGCTTCTGTGCAGGAATCCACTGTAAGAATCATCCAGAGCTTAGCAGCAAAAGTGGAAGAGGAGATTGCAGCAAGGCTAGGGAATGGGCAGGAAGGTGGCAGTAGCTGTGTGTGGGCTTCTGAATTAGAATGAGATTGCCTTCCCATCCTAGAGTTAAAACAGTATTCTCTTAATATCTCTAGGAACAGTGTGATATAGAAAGAAGGATTCCCTTCCCCCTCCTGCTTTTCCTGGGGCTTAAATTCAGGACCTGGGCTCAAGGCCACACAGCTCCATTTCTGGCTTTTTGATTGTTATTTAGAGATAGGAGTCTCACGGACTTTTCTGCCTCGGCTGGTTCTAAACCAGGATTTTCTGATCTCAGCCTCTGGAGTAGCTAGGATTACAGATATGAGCCCCACCCCCCACGCCTGGTGGATTTTATTTTATTGTTTAATGTTTCTAGCTAGTGATGAAGAACAAGAACCTTTATCACTGTGAAATTAAGCTGGCAGGAAAAGTTAGCAGGACCCTAGTTCCTAATCAAGGACCTAAAGTTAGAACTAATCCCTTCCCTTGTCCTAGGACAGTTTGATCCACTGTGCCTTTTCCAGTCCGATTGTCAGAGACTACATTATTTTTTCTTTTTGGATGTTATTGATAAACCTAAATTAGCTCTCATTATTTGTTATGCTTAGTTGCTGGTTTTCCCTTTTCCTTCTCCTGTACCTTTTTTTTTTTTCTGAACTGAAACATATTTAATCTCTCTCCCTAACAGATTCAAGCCCCAGTAAGACAACAGCCAAAGGTTCAGACAACCCCACCTCCTACTATCCAGGGACAGAAAGTTGGATCTCTCACTCCTCCATCATCTCCCAAAACCCAGCGTGCTGGGCACAGACGTATTCTCAGTGACGTAACCCATAGTGCAGTCTTTGGGGTCCCTGCCAGCAAATCAACCCAGCTGCTCCAGGCAGCTGCAGCTGAGGCCAGTCTCAATAAGTCCAAGTATGTAGTGCTGCTGCTTTGTTCATACCTTGTGGGCTTTTCTTAGGTGATTATTGGGTTATTCTTTGGAAAAGTTTGTGGGTGTGTGGAGGTATATGTAGTGGCAGTGCATGCATATGTTTGGTAAGGAACTGTTAGCTTGTCTATAGTGCTTATACTGTAGTGATCATAAGATTCTATTCCCAGAGCCTGAAGGCATAGCTAGCAGTAGCATATCTGCCTAGCCAGTGTGGACCCTGAGTTTGTCAAATCCCAGTACTGCCAAAAAAATATATAAAGGAAAAAAAGATTAATTTCCAAGTTGGCCTATTGTTTCCATTTTCTCATTCATTTTATGTTCCACAGAGTATTCTAACTCTTGAACAACCAAGTCTGTCCATTCTGAAAAGCTTTCATTGCCCTCTACTACATATAGGCTGTTAGCAGGAGCTCTCTGCTTACTTCAGCAAGGCCTTGTTTACATACATGGGATGAGCCCAGGGCTCATTCTTTTGAGGAACTGCAGCTTTCCTGGGAAACTGACATTTATCTTTCAATATTCATATTCATGGGTTCTTTGTTTTGTTTTGTTTTGGTCGGTCATGGGGCTTGAATTCTGGGTCTGAGCACTGTCCCTTAGCTCTTCAGCTCAAGGCTAGCACTCTACTGCAGCACCACTTCTGGTTTTCTGGTGATTAATTGGATATAAGAGTTTCATGGTTTTCCCTGCCCTGGCTGGCTTTGAACAGTGATCCTCAGATCTCAGCCTCCTGAGTAGGTAGGATTACAGGTGTGAGCCACCAGCACCTGGCTCATGGATTCTTTTGACTATCCCTCTCATAGAGCATTTTGCCTTGACCTTATGTCAAGCAAGTATCACATTGTTTTATCAATCATTTGTATGTCTGGCTGCCTGGCCTGTGAGTTCTCTAATACCAGGACTCTGTCTTAGCCAACTTCTGTGAACCCAGCGATAGATACCATGTCTGATTTTGATGAGTGGTTTTTTTGTTGTTTTTTTTTTTGAGTGAATGTAATTTTAGACCCTCGGCTGTTTTAGAATTATGCACTGTCTGGTTAAAAACCTTTAAAATCAAGAGAAACTAGAAGAAAACTGGTTGATACCTAGACACACAAACTTAATAGTGGTAGCTATCTTTATTTCTCTTTAATTATGATAGTGGTCTTTTGTTTTTGTGTTTTTCTATGCTGGGGATCAGACCTAGGACTTTATGCATGCTGGGCAAGTACACTACTGCTGATCTACATCCAACCCAATGATGGTGGCTCTTAATGGAAGGTGGGAGGCAGTGTAAAAAGACTGAAGTTCCAGTCCCCTTCATGAGCCAGTTGTAGAAGATGTTATTGTGGTTCCCACAGGATACACAAGTCTAAGGACAAGTTTTATTGAGATCCTAAACTGAAAGCTCTCACAGACAAGACTGAAAAACTAGTCAAGAAAAGGGAAGTAGTGAGGCCTGAAGGAAAGGAGATACTCATTTCACAGAGTGGAAAGGATGTCTATGGAAGTTGTTCAGTTGCTGTGGAAAAAAACCTCCTAGGAAAACACTATGCAAAATAATGGCTAAACTCAGAAAAGAATTTCATCTTATAATGAAGAGAAAACAATCTGAACCTTTCTGTTTTGTTCAACTTTTATATGTCTTTTTCTTTCATGGGGGTGGGAACCTATCTAGGTCTGCAACCACCACCCCATCAGGCTCTCCTCGGACCTCGCAGCAAAATGTCTATAATCCGTCCGAAGGTTCTACATGGAATCCCTTCGATGATGACAATTTCTCCAAACTCACAGCTGAAGAACTGCTAAACAAAGATTTTGCCAAGCTAGGGGAAGGTGAAAAAAGTCTTGTCTTTTTGTGATTCGTAGTTGTAGATTCCCAGTGCTAAGAAATAAGCAGGAATTAGAATGAATCTTATCTCTAGAGGAATGTGCTTGTGAAAATGTGCCTCTGCCACAGGTTTAAGATAAGCAGCCACAGTTTGAGCTTCTTCAAATTCTTGATTTCAAAATATGCACCCACACAAACTTTTACTTTTACCCTAGTGCTAATCTCAGGAAGTCCTGACCTATCGTGGAAGGCAGCACAGAGAGTGTGAGCATTAGGGAAGACATTTTTACAGAAGACTCAGAGGCATAAATCAGCACAGTGGTAGCAAACACTATCATACTTGGAGGGGAGTGGTGTTCCCCTTTTGTCTCCCTCTTTCTCTCTCTTTCTTTCTCTCTCTCTTTCTTTCTCTCTCTCTCTTTCTTTCTTCCTTTCTTTCTTTCTTTCCTCCTTTCCTTCTTCCCTCCCTACTTCCTTCCCTCCCTCCCTTCCTCCCTTCCTCCTTTCCTTTTTTTTCTTTTCTTTTCTTTTGGGTCCTGTCATGGGGCCTGAACTCTGGGCCTGGGCACTGCCCCTCAGCTCTTCAGCTCAAGGCTAGCGCTCTACCACTTGAGCTACAACGCCACTTCCAGCTTTTTTTCTCTTTGCTTATGTGGTGCTGAGGAATCAAACCCAGGGCCTCATGCATGCAAGGCAAGCACTCTACCACTGAGCCGCCTTCCCAGCCCTCCTTTCTTTCTCTGTCTCTGTCTCTTTTTCTCTCTCTTTCTTTCTTCCTTCCATCCCAAGGCTTGGGGGCTTGTTCCTAAGCTCCTTTTGGTCAAGGCTAGAACTCCACCACTTGAGCCACAGTATCACTTCTGGTTTTTCTGTGATTTCATTGGAGATAAGAGTCTCATAGACTTTCCTGCCCAGGCAGGCTTCGAACAGTGATCCTCAGCGCTCAGCCTCCTGAGTAGCTAGGATTATAGGCATGAGCCACCAGCTCCAAACTCCTTGATAGTAATGTTAAGTACATTAGCAATGTTGTACAAGCCAATATCCAGAATTATTTTCATCTTCTATATATAACTAGTTCTCTTATCACTTTTTGATTCTTAATAATTTTCTTTATTATCTTAGTTATTGTAGTATCTAGACAAGGACTTTTGAATAGCCAAGGTGCTGCCTTAACACAGTATGAAGAGTAGTCAGAAGGTACCCAGAATCTCCACATGTGTGTATTATGCTCCTGGGCTTTGGCCGGAATGAACAAAGTGGTGTTTTGTCTCTAGGCAAGCATCCTGAAAAGCTTGGTGGCTCAGCTGAGAGTTTGATTCCAGGTTTCCAGTCAACCCAAGGTGATGCTTTTACAAACACTTCCTCGTTTTCTGGTGAGTATGGCACATACCTGGGACATGTGGCTCACTGTTGTGACTTTCATTGTTTTCCCTCCATATTATAGCTGTGGCTTGCTGGGAACCACAGCTCCAGTGTTCAAAAGCTGTCCAGTCAAAGAGAGGTAGATGAGGATCTAAAGTGGCAGGATGATCTAGCAGCAGGATGCTGGATTTGTTCCCTCTAATCTAGGACATAGGTTAAGCAACTCTGGTGATCTTTTCTTGTTTCTTAAGATCTTTGCAAGAACTTAGTGAATTCTAAGTTTTAGATATTTTCTCTTGATATTTGATTCTCTACTAAGCTGTGATTAGTGTGTGCCTTTATGAGTTTGTTTTAAATTATAGAGTAATAAGAGGTGTTTTCTGCCCTTACTAAGAAAAATTACATTTATTATATAAATAAGTCATTTATAGAGAAAAAAGTTAAAATCTCCTGTGATCTCACCACTGAGAGCTAGCATAGAGATGTCATTCAAACATCTTGGCAATAATTTTTTGTTTTTGGTTGGTCATGGGGCGCTGTCCCTCAGCTCTTCAACTCAAGGCTAGCACTTGAGCTACAGTGGCCACTTCTTGGTTTTCTGGTGGTTTATTAGAGAAAAGAGTCTCACGGACCTTCCTGCCCAGGCTGGCTTAGAAATATGATTCTCAGACTTCAGTGGCCTAAGTAGTTAGGATTGCAAGCATGAGCCACAGCACCAACTTTTTTAGTTATTTTTTTCAGATAGAGTCTCTTGTTTTTGCCTGAGGCTGGCCTTAGACAATAATACTCATACCTCCAGAGCAACTGGAATTACATGTGTGAACCATCATTCCCAGCCTAGAATGCTCTTCTGACATTGTGTATTGTAAACTTTCCCCATTTCTCACTTGTCCTTGCTGAGTGTGATCTTGTTTGACCTTCTCAGCAACCCTTTGAGTTTGTTATATTCTCTTTAGTTCTTGTAGCTTGAAGAGACTGAGGCACAAAGTCGCTTTTCCAGAATTACCTACTAGCAAATAGAAGAGCTGGAACATTGACTTTCTGGCTCCAGCATCAAGGGGGAATATTTATTAAGGTTTTTTAAGATTTTTTTAAATCAAAATATTTAACACTATGAGTATTTTTCTCAATAAAAGTCATTTGGGGTCCAAATGGGATTGAGGAGAGCTGGATCATCTCTAGGAATGCTTTTCCATTTTCCAGTGTAAGGTAGATACTGTCCTTCTAGCATCTCCTTGCAGTTGCCCTACTTCTTTGCCATAGTCTTTGAGAATTAATCACTTTGAAAATTAAGTGCTTCACGAGCTTTACAACGTTGGTGGGGGGGGGGGGGGGGAGTTGAGGAAGGAGAAGGATTGGGATTAGGGGGGGAGGGGGGAGGCTGGGAAGGGATGTGAAGGGTAAACAAAGGAGGAGGCTGCAATGCTTGGTAAGAAATGTACGCATTATCCTGCCCATGTAACTGTAACTCCTCTGTACAGTATGTTCACAAATAAAATTAAATTAAATTAAAAAAAAAAAGAAATGTAAAAAAAAAAAAGAAAGAAAGAAAATTAAGTGCTTCTCCTAGATGTGTGTTTCCTTAGTAAGAAAAAAAAAGGCAAAACAGATGTTTTATGTCGTATCGTAGAAGTCATCATGATCTTAGAAGTCATCTTGTAATGTTACCATTTTTTTAAATCATTTGGGAATTACACTTCCATATTAAGTAATTACAATATTTTTGTGTTATTTTTTACTTTATGTTTTGTCATCTTATCTTGTGACTTTTAAAGGCTTATGTTTAATTGTGCCACATGTCTGACCAGATGTACCAAATGCGTAAAGAGCTAGAACATGAGAGTGATGACCAGCTATGGTCCTGGGGATGATAGAGCTTTCTGGAAGGAGGGTCAGGGAGAAACTTTGTCTTCTTTCTTGCTACGTCTTAGACATTTACCACAATGTTTGGTTCAGTATGGATTGGATGAATGAATGAAAGTGATTGCTTTTGCCAAAAGTATAGAAGGAGCTGGCATTCAGCAGTATTAAAGCAAAGGTCTTGTAATTGTCTATTTATCATAGCTTAGCACTCCCAATTTTAACGCTTCTCAGTTTTCTCACATGGTTACATTTCATTATCTATTTGAACAGTTTTCTTTTGTGTGTGTGTTTGTAGTACTGAGGTTGATGTTATAGCTTTGAGCAAGCTACAGAAGTGCTCTATCCCTTGACCTAGGCTCACAGCCATTTTTGCCTGGGCTTGATCTTAGACCTTGCTTCTGAGATTACCATGTGTACCATCATGTCCCACTTATGTGAACTATTTTCTTACATACTTGGTTTTTTCTTTTACCTTTCTCTTGCCTTTATATTTGTTTTGAAAGGCAATAGTGGCAGTATATTTTATAGGACTTGAAGGCCTAACCACAAACACATTTAGAGAAAAATTGTGACAGTAATAACATTGAGTACCTATAGCATCATTGTACATGCTAGGCCTATTGAGTAAGTGATTCATTGTATGCATTATTTCACAACAGCTGACCTCGGCAGTCACAGCTGGTGAATGACAGAATAGAGATCTGTACCTAGACAGCCCAGTGGAAATACTATTGTTGAAACAGTATCTCAGGAATCCTTATTATCAGTAATACCAAGCTTTATAATATGCATTCAGATTTCCTCAGTTTATCTAACATTTCTCTATGAACATTTCATTTTTTTATTTGTGTGCGTGTAAACATTTTTTTTTCCTGTATCACCTTCATTCTTTCCAAATGAAACAGTATGTAGTCCAAGAAATTCACTTGCTTGCCTTTGTTTGAAGTTTAGGATGGCACCATTTTCTGTAAATATTCTAATTGTGCTCAGATTGATTATGGATTTTAAACATTCTGATAGATCAAAAGAGAAATTGAGAAAGAAATTTGATAATGGTTTAGGGAGAGTGACATAAGGTAATACTTTAAACATTTTTATGGGGACTGGGAAGGTGGCCCAGTGGTAGAATGCTTGCCTTGCATTCATGAGGTCCTGTGTTCTATTCCTTAGCACCACATAAGCAGAAAAAGCTGGAAGTGGTGCTGTGGCTCAAGTGGTAGAGCGCTAGCCTTGAGCTGAAGAGCTGAGGGACAACGCCCAGGCCCCACAACCAACAATGACAAAACCTATTTACATAATGCCTATTTATTTAAATGCTTGAGTTATACACTTTTAGTTGTAAAAAAATGGGGAAATGGATGAAAGCCCAGTGAAGTGACAAGAACTTATAACCTTACTCCAAGAGGAAAATGCTATTATTGTACAGCATTTATACCTGGAATTTATTTCTACATACTTTTTTTCAAAAAGACCCATGTTATATTTTTTTGTAATTTTCTTTTTCCTTTTAAATTTGTTTTTATTTTATCTCATTTTAAAATGTAGGGCTGGGAAGGTGGCTCAGTGGTAGAGCGCTTGCCTTGCATGCATGAGGCCCTGGGTTCGATTCCCCAGCACCACATAAGCAAAAATGAAAAAAAGCCAGAAGTGGCGCTGTGGCTCAAGTGGTAGAGTACTAGCCTTGAGCTGAAGAGCTGAGGGACAACGCCCAGGCCCAGAGTTCAGGCCCACGACCGGACCCAAAGGAAAAAAAAAACGTATCAGAAGGGCTGGGTGTCTGTGGCTCATGCCTATATTCCCAGCTATTGAGGACATTGAGATTTGAGGAAAGCAGTTTAAAGACAGCCTAAGTAAGAAGCGTCATGAGACTCTTATCTTCACCAAAAACCACAAGTGGAATCACAGTGGTAGAGAGCTAGCTTTGAGCAAAAATGCTCAGGGACAGACCCTAAGTTCAAGCCCAGGACCAACAATAAAGGAAGGAAGAAAAGGAAAGAATGCAGAGGGGAGAGAGAGAAGGGGGAAGGAAAGAAGGAAGGGAGGGAGGGAGGAAGGGAGGAAGAGAGGAAGGAAGGAAGGGAGGGAGGAAGGAAGGGAGGGAGGGAGGAAGCCAGGCAGGCAGGCAAGCAGACATTTCCAAGACTTAACCCTTCTGTTCCTCCTACCTATAGAGAAAGTTCTTCAAATGATTACTATAATAACCCAGTTGTAGATGGTAAGAACCAAATCCTTTGGTTTGCAAAGGATAACACTAGATGTAGGGGTGGATATACCTAGAAAGGAATGGAAGGAGGGAGTTCTTCATAGTGTACAGTTCAGTGTCACAATTGTGTTGGTGCTCAGGCTAATCTATGCATGGGACAGAATCACAGAGAACTCTGCACACCAGTTGAAGGAAGCGAGTAATGGTCTCTGAGAGAATATGAGGAGAGGCTAGTTCAGAGATTGGGAAATGGGATTGAAGAGGAACTTGGGAGGCCACATTGAAGGAAGTTGAAGATGCAAGGAGAGGTTGAGGGTCTGGGGAAGTTTGAGTGTTGGAAGATATGAAGTCAGAAGTGTCTGAGGTAGTGATATAGGTCAAGAGTCAGATGTTGGAAGTCTGAGCAAGGGAGGATGGAGTAGAGTTAGTATGGTATCCATGTTTCCTTCTGTCCTCTTCCCTCACTCACAGATTGGATTTCCAGTCATTGAGCTGGGTGTGGTGGCAGCTGCTGACACATTGAGACTGACTGGTCACTGGGTAGGACATGGCTTTGGGAATGGTGGGAGATGGTCAGTAGTGGTCTCAAAATGCCACATAAGCCCTTCCCTCTGTCTTGCTGCCCACCGAGGGACACCTCTGTCCCTCCCTTTGCCCTCTGTCACATCTGGACATCTTCCCACCTGTTATCATTTCCTCTTCCACATCTTAGCTTAAAGTTCTTGGAAATGCATTTTGGGGGTCCCTGGATAGAAGTAGGCACCGTCTATCTTCAAAGCCGCTCTGAGGGAGACAACCAAGTCAGGGACTGGGGACATTTCTTTTTTTTGTCAGTCATGGGAGCTTGAACTCTGGGCTTAGGCACTGTTCCTGAGTGCTTCAACTGAAGGCTAGCACTCTACCACTTGAGCCACAGCCCCACTTCTGGATTTTTGTTTGTTTGTTTGTTTATGTGGTGCTGAGGAATCAAAGCCAGGGCCTCATGCATGCGATGCAAGCGCTATACCACTGAGCCACCTTCCTAGGCGTCTGGGGACATTTCTAATTCATCCAGTAATCCTACCTGAACTTTTCGCACTACTGTATTTCTTTTTTTTTTTTCTTTTTCCTTTTTTTTTTCTTTTTTCTATCAGTCATGGGGCTTGAACTCTGGGCTTGGGCCCTATCCCTCAGCTCTTCAGCTCAAGGCAAGCACTCTGCCATCTACCACTTGAGCCACAGCACCACTTCTGGTTTTCTGGTGGTTTGTTGGAGATAAGAGTCTCATAGACTTCCTGCCTAGACTGGCTTTGAACCATGATCCTCAGATCTCAGCTTCCTGAGTAGCTAGGATTACAGGCATGAGCCACCAGCACCTGGCTCTGTATTTCTTAAAGTTCATCTTGCTGGTTCTGAGGAGGTGGTATTGGGGATGGCAGAGGTAGCTGTTGAGAAATGGTGGAATCTTTCCAAAGGGACCAAAGAGGAATAGAGGAAACTGAGCCACTGAGAATTGGGCTCCCAAAGGGCAGGAAGCAGATGAGAAAGAAACCAAGTCAGCCTACTATCTAGGAAACATGAGATTTGGGGATAGATGGGATAGGGGCAACAAATTCACCCATTTCCTTGTAGCTCCTAACAGTCATACCTGAGAAACAGCTAGAGATAGCAAGAGACAGAGACAAGTAGATTTAGAGATGGGGGATTTAATTCAGAGTCAGATGCCTGTAGAGATGACTCCAGTAACACTTACACATGCTGGCACCTTGACTCCTTGATAAGCCTGTTTCATGAACAACGCACTGAGGTTCAGACAGATGAAGAAAACTGCCCTGCAACTGATGACCCAGGCCAGGGCGCTTAAGTGTGGTGGGTGCTGAGCCTCAGGACTTCTAAGCTCAACCCAGCACCGTATAGGCTAACAAAAAAGGATTTAGGGTGCATTGAAAATGACAGCGATGTCTAGCTAGGTAAATAGGATCTACCACCTATGTAAGAGGCAGGTATGAGTGGAACGAGTTTGAGGGAGACCAGAGCAGAGGTGTCTGACCTGAGTGGCGGTAGTGATGGAGACGGAGTTGAAGCTCACAACAGGCACAGAGAGGGAGAGAGGGAGGAAGCGCTTACTCACACAAACAAGTGGGTGTGTGTTCATCAACATTCTGTTACTATAACAAGGTACCTGATAGGTATTTGTTTGGGCTCAGTTTTGGAGGTGTCAGCCATGGTCAATTGTCCCATTGCTTTGGGCCTGTGGCAAAGCAGCGTATCATGTTGGGGTGTACATGGCAGGACAAAGCTGTTCATTCTCATGGCAAGGCCCAAGGAGAGGAAGAAAAATAGATTGGGATCCCGTGATCCCTGCTAAGATTAACTTCCAATGACCTAAAACCTTCCAGTTGGCCCTACTTCTCAAACTTCCTACCACTTCCTGAGAGCATTAAGCCGGGGACCAGGCTTTTAACATACATGCACACTAAAACAGTGTGCATGTGAAAACTGCCAAAACCAAATAGGCTAGGCAGTAGAATTATATAGTGTTGGTGACATCATGCTACAGTTATATAAGGTGTCTCTGTTGGGACAAGATAGATGTAGGATTCACAAGACTCAACCTGTGACTCTCTAATTATTTTAAAGAAAGCTGTTTCACTTTATTTTAAGATAACATCTTGCGGTGTAGCCCAGGCTAGTTTCAGACCCACAATCCTATTGTCTTGACCTCCTGAGTACTGGGATTATAGACATAAACCATTATACTGGCTTTGAGTAAAACATTTAAAAAATCTGCTTTTGTGGAAAGAAAAATGAAATTTTAATTAATAAGCAAGCTGGATACTGAAATTCAATGTAGAGGATGATAAAGTAGAAATAGACCTAAATTGTGACCATAGCTCTTCTGACCAGCCACTGTTGATCTCTTAATTTGGGTCTTCATTTTCTTTTCTGAAAAATAAGGAAATTGTGCTAGAAAATTCTAAAATCTTTTCAAGCCCTAATAGTTGCTAGGGTATGTAAATTTCTGTAAGTTGAGAGTACTTACCAATAGTGTGTTAGATATGGTCTAGAGATTAGGGGTCATCTAGCCCTGAAGTAGGCAAAAAAAAATTATTTCTATTTCTTCTTGTCTAGCCATTGGACATTATAGTGGTACAGTAAGATTTAGTCCTTCCAAAACCTCTAGGGGATAATGGGCACACAAGAAAAAGCTGTATACATCCTAATATATACATGTACTAGTGCCAAAATGTGTGACATGGCCAATAATTGTTATAGACATTCTGAAAGAGATCCCTGTATGCTGCAGTATCCCTGGAAGAAGTAGAAGTCCAAGCATAGGAATATACTGATGTAATCATTCATTGTATCTTATATATGTTACATAGACCACATTGTATATCTCAGGGATACTTTATTATCATACTGTATTGTTAGCATTCATTCCCCTTTAGTCTGCCTGTTTGGACTTTGTAATTTAAGCTATTGAGTGATTAAATGGTAAATTCTCTGGGTGCTGGTGGCTCATGCCTGTTATCCTAGCTACTCAGGAGGCTGAGATCTGAGGATCGTGGTTCAAAGCCAGCCTGGGCAGTAAAGTCTATGAGACTCTTATCTCCAGTTAACCACCAGAAAACAGGAAGTGGTGCTATGGCTCAAAGTGGTAGAACACTAGCCTTGAGCTGAAGAGCTGAAGGACAGTACCCAGGCCCTGAGTTCAACCCTCATGAAAAAAGAAAAAAAGGGAAAGGTAAATTCGTCTAGATTCACTTATGTTTTCTGCTTTTCTCTCCTCACGCTTTTCCCTTCAACCAACTCTAGCTGAAAAAAGGAAGGGTGGGCAGGCTGTGGATTCTGGAGTCCCACTTCTAAGCGTGTCTGATCCTTTCATTCCACTTCAAGTACCTGATGCACCAGGTAGGTAAATAGGATTGAGGTTAAGCAGCTTGATTCTTAGGTCCCAATGCCTCTGGAGAGTTCTGCTTTAAACACTCCATAAAAGAGATCTGAATCCCAAGTCCCAGTGGGAAGGGCTGTTGTCTGTTTTCATTGTCTCAGTAAGAGATACAAACTTAGGAAAGATAATTAAAAAATCAGCTTAGATTAAACCAAAGTATATTCCATAACAGTGTTCCAGTTTTTATCCTTGATTGTATTTATGGTAACTTGAGGCCATGTACTGGAAAGAACATTCGTTCAATATAATTATAGTAATATCATGGTGGGACATAGATGTGTGTGATTAAGAGAACAAAATATAAATAGTGGTCATCATGTGGTTAATGATATGGGGGGGTAACCTGTCCAGTTCCTGTTTTTATCATATAATTTTATATTATAATAGAAAATGCACAGTAAAAGTTAATAAGGAATATGAACCAGGAGAACTGGACTTCCTTCCAGGTTCTACTACTACTGAAACCCGTCTGGGTTAGGCCATTCAGTCAGAAGAAGTTGAACTGTGGGAGTTCAGATAGCCTTTCCATTTACCAGGATTTTTAGGGAACAGTGTAAAAAAGTAAGAAATGGTTAATATGTTCTGATTGATACAGCTTTTGAAATAATAATTGGATGCTTTCATTTAGAGTATTTGAATGCTGTTCTCTTTATACTTATCTTTTTGGCAGGGATTGATGGAGAGGGAATGTAGTTTGAAGGATAGCAAATAAATCCAACTTCTTACAAACATCTGGCATTGCTTTTGTTTCCATGTTCCTTTTTTCTCCACTTTTAGCTCTCCTAAGTCTCTTGACCTGAAATTGATAGGATTAGCTTGGCTTTTCTTCTCTCCCAAAATACTATTTGATTGATTGTCTCAAGAATTGGAAGTAAGCTGACACTGGTGGCTCACTCTATAATCCTAGCTACTCAGTAGGCTGATATCTAAGGATCGCAGTTCAGGGTCAGCCCAGGAAGGAAAGTATGTGAGACTCTTTATCTCCAATTAACCACCAGAAAACTGCAAGTGGCACTATGGTTCAAGTGGTAGATCCCTCACCTTGAGCTGAATAGCTCAGAGACAGCAGCCAGGTCCAGAGTTCAAGCCCCATAACTGACCAAGAACAAACAAAAATTGGAAATGATTGTGATTTTCATATTCTTTAAAAAAATTTTTTTGTCCATCATAAGGCTTGAACTTAGGGCCTATGTGCTATCCCAGAGCTCTTTTGCTCGAGGCTAGCACTCTACCACTTTGTGCCATAGTACCAATTTCCAGTTTTCTGGTTAATTGGAGATAAGAGTCTCACAGACTTTCATGTCCAGGCTGGCTTTGAACAGCAATCCTCACATCTCAGTCTCCTGAGTTGCTAGGATTCTAGGCATAAGCCATCAGCACCTGGCTCATTTTAACTAGTTTTAAGTTCAGTGATATTAAGTACATTCACCTTATTTCGTACTCATCTTTACCATATTCCAGTGAAACTTTTTTCATCTTGTAAAACTGAAATTTTGTAAAATAAATTCCCATTTTCCTTCCCCCCAGTCCCTAGCAGCTGCCATTCTACTGTTCTAGTGAATTTGATGGCTGTAGGTAACTCATAAAGGGAAACCATATATTGTTCGTCCTTTTTTTTTTTGTGACTAGCTTATTTCATTTACTATGATTAAAGTTCATTATATGTCAGAATTTCCTTCCTTTTTAAAGATTGGGTAAAATTCCATTGCATATATACCATATTTTGTAAACACTTCGTTTACTTCTTTTTTTTTTTTTTGGTCGGTCATGTGGCTTGAACTCTGGGCATTGGGTTCTGTCCCTGAGCTCTCAGCTCAAGGCTAGTGCTCTATGACTAGAGCCACAGTGCCAGTTCCAGATTTTTCTGTTTATGTAGTGCTGAGGAATGGACCCCAGGGACTCATGCGTGCGAGACAAGCACTCTACCACTGAGCTACCTTCCCAGCCAACTTCATTTACTTCTATCTTTTGACTATTTTTACATCCATCTATGAAGAAGGATGTACTAATGTGTGACCTTGTTTTCGTTCTTTTGTATATATACCAGAAATAGAAATGCTGGATTTACTTTTTGGAAGAACTATCATGCTATTTCTCACAGACACCATTTCACATTCTCACTAGCAATGCACAGGCTTTGACAAACAATTTTGAGAAGCTCTTCAATTCTAATCTCTTGTCAATATTCCACAAGACTAAACGGATAGGCTTTTATTGTCCCATAAGTGCTACTTCCTAGAATTAGAGTATTTAACAAAGAAAGAAAAGAAAAAGTGCTTCTTGGTTTTATTTATATTTTGGTCCATCATTTTTTGAAATGTTACGCAAGAGAAACTTTTCTTGATAGTTTGTTTTTGCTGCTCTTTATGAGTTTCATTTTTTGGTCACCATGGACATTCCTTTTTGCTTTGTTTTGTTGTTGTCATGTGTATTCCTTTTTTTTTTTTTTTTGGTCCGGTCGTGGGGCCTGAACTCTGGGCCTGGGCACTGTCCCTCAGCTCTTCAGCTCAAGGCTAGTGCTCTACCACTTGAGCCACAGCGCCACTTCCGGCTTTTTTCTTTTTGTTTATGTGGTACTGAGGAATCAAACCCAGGGCTTCAGGCATGCAAGGCAAGCGCTCTACCACTGAGCCACCTTCCCAGCCCATGTGTATTCCTTTTATAACTGCTTGCCTGAAGTGCTCATTTCAATCACTGTCCTGTGGGACTGAGAAGCCCAAAGCCAATCATAGTATGTGATACAGTATGTCCTTTTACTCCAGAAAATCTTATCTTTGTACAGATTTTGTTCTAAAGTTAACTGGGAATGATCCATGGAGTTTGACTTTTGCTTCCAACTTGAAGGTTTGGTGTTTGTATTCTTTCAGTGATAGGAACTTTTTATGACTAGATTTTCATTTTATATCTTTATTTGTGAGGTATAGTGTGACTTTTTAACATATGTATTCATTGTATAACAATCAGATAAACATTATTGGCAAATTTGTCACATCAATGAGTGACTGGATTTTAAAAACACTGTCACTTGTATCAGAACTCATGTCGGATAAGACACGCATTTTTGATAGGGCTCTTATCAAGCTCTTTCACGTTGTTCTAATCTTCATATTTTCTATTATAACTAGAGTCAAAATGGCCCATGAACGAGTTTGTAATCTTGTACAAGTAGATATCTCTTCTTCTTCTTTGCTATTTTAAAAGAGAAGAGAATAGCAAGTTGGTATACATCCTAGTCTCATGGCAGAAAGCAGTTTTATTATCTAACCTTAGACTGGTTTGTGAGAAGTTTATTACCTTCTTGACTTTTGGCAAGGTTTTGGTGTTGACAGTGCTGACACAGGCAAGTGGTGGCCATTGTTATGATAGCACTAGGGGATTAGCTGCAGATTTCCTTTATGTGTGCACCATCCTCCTTGCACAGTGGGTGGCCTGTGCTATCACTCATGGTTCTCTGCCTGCTCTTCCTCCCTACTCTCATCTCTCCCACTTTTCTCCTCATAGAGGGCAGTCTCCCCTGGGAATTGTGGGAATCATGGTACTAAAAGGTAAGGACACTGTCCTTATCACCCATGCATATATACTGAGTGAGGGTTCTGCTTTGTTGGATAAACATCCTGGTTATCAGAATGGTTGTGCTATTTAAGTTAACTGCAGGAATTTCATCAGAACCTTTGGTTGTCTTAGGGCAATCCTTAAGCAGGGGCATATCTATAATTGGGTCAATGGGCCAGTATAGTGGCCCTAGCAGCCACCATAGGTCCTGTTTAATCTGCCTGTCTAACTCTGTGGTTATGAGTATGGTCCAGGTACTCATTATCTCTGAATTCCTTAGGTGAGGCCTTGTTACCCTGAGAAGATCATTGTGCCCTGACAGTAAGAATAGCTTTCTCTCCTGTGACAAGGAAGTTCGTCCACCAGTCCTGTCATTCCTGAATTCTAAGGTGAATTCTAAGGTGGCTGAATTTCTTTGCTCTGCAGGAGAGAATGGCTCAGGGCAAAGGACACAGGCACAAAATGGAGACAGACATTCCAAGTTTTTATCCTGCTTCTATGTACCCTTTGGAAATTTGCAGTCCCAAGTGAGGAATCAGTGCTGTTTAGCAGAAGCAGTTTCTAATTATCTTATACCCCAAGAACTTAGACGTTTACAAATCCATTAAATTGTTACATGCAGATACTCCAACTTTAAGCTACTGCTTTTTCAAATAATTTAATTTCGTTTAACTGTTACAGAATCCATGTAAAACCTCAGTCTCCTTGAAATGGAAATAATGAGCTCTAAATTTACTCCTGTGATATTCTGTGATTCATTATTTTGTTGTAAGTTAATGTTCTATGTTTAGTAGGTTAAAGGTAAATAGAGTGTTGTTGATTAGATCAGAGCTAAAGGAATTGTTCTGGAAGCAGTTGGTGTGTGTGTGTGTGTGTGTGTGTGTGTGTGTGTGTGTGTGTGTGTGTGTGTGTGTGTGTGTGTGTGTGTGTGTGTGTGTGTGTGTGTGTGTGTGTGTGTGTGGAAGCAGTTGGTGTGTGTGTGTGTGTGTGTGTGTGTGTGTGTGTGTGTGTGTGTGTGTTCCAGTATGATAAGTCTGATGTCTTCTGATATCCTCCTTTTGTTTTGTAGCCAAAAAACACTAATAGTAATCCATCCTCAGGCTTAAGTGAATTTTGTAAAATGAAACTGTAGGAGGAATCCTCGGCCAGATTCTTTTTGAGGGGGTTAGAATGGGACCTTGTAGAAATACCTCAGTTACACTAACCTTTATGCCATCAGCCTTGAAAGGGAAAGTAGGATTAGATAAATTTAGGGATAATCAACCTTATATCACCAGTTTTTAGACAGACCTCCTTTAAGTGATTAGCATTCCTACATGCACAAATGAGTAGGAATCTGACTCAAAGTAAGGGGGACAGATACAAAAATGAAGGCTTTTATCATGTTTTCAGTTACTTTGTGGGCCCAAGTAAGGAGTCAGAGTAGTTTCTAAGTATCTATCATATTGCCACAAAATAATTATGAATACCAGCATGTCACAGGTGCACGGTTGGCAGATAGGAAATGATGTTGAAGTCGATTTAGGTGAGGCTGTATTAATTCTCTTGGGACTGCTTAGTGCAAGTTGGAAAAGAGATCGAAAAGTTAAGTCTAGGAAAGTAGATAGATGAATATATAAAAACAGATTGCAAATGTTTTTGGCAAGCATTATTTTTCATAGCTGAGAACTGGAAACAACCAAATGTCTTATCAACTGATAAACAAATCAACAAAATGTTGTATATCTGTCCAATGGAACACTACTCAGAAATAGGGAAACAGAACAAACAATTGATTCATGGTACAACATGGTTGACTTTCAGAAATATTATGCTGAATGAGAGAAGTCAGACACAAAAGACTGGGTACTGTTTGGTTCCATTTAAAATGGAAAGTCTAGAAAAGGTAAAACTATAGTGACAAAAGAAGATCTGTTGCTACCAAGGTCTAGGATAAGAAGAAAGAATTTTTTGTGTATATACCAGTCCTGGGGCTTGAACTTTTTTGCTCAAGGCTAGTGCTGTACCACTTGAGCCACAGCTCTATTGCTAGCTTTTTTGGTGCTTAATTGGAGGTAAAAGTCTCACAGACATTCCTTCTCAGGCTGGTTTGGAACAATGATCCTCAGGTCTGAGCTTCCTAAGTAGCTAGGATTATAGGTGTGAGCCACCAGCACCCAGGAAGAATTTACTCTAAAGGGGTCCACAAAGGATTATGGAGAGTATTTGAAATGTTTTATGTCATCATGGTGAGTATATGAATGTATACATTTGTTAAAATTTACCACATGACACAATTAAAATTGGTGACATCTACCATTCATCAACTACATCTCAAACACAAAGCAACTAAACCTAAGGCAACATCTTGAATTCTTTCCCCCCTCTCCCCCCCTCCTATTATTTGAGCCACAACACCACTTCCAGCTTTTTCTGTGATTAATTGGAGGTAAGCGTCTTAGGACTTTCCTGTCCGGGCTGGCTTCAGGCCGTGATCCTAAGATCTCAGCGTCCTGAGTAGCTAGGATTACAGGCATGTGCCACTGGCTCCCAGCTCAGCATCTTGAATTCCTAATGGCTTACAAAATGATCACTTCACTTGGGAAAATAGTTATTTAGACATTTCAAATTTGGGAAATCTATTGTTAACAAGGTCTTAACAGTATTCATTTTTATAATTAATCTGTACCATTGAAGAATCTGTTGGCCCCTAGAATGTGTTCGACTGGAAAACAGTGAATGTTCTACCTGCTTTAATATTGCATTTTTGCTTTTTCTTTACTTCTCTGCCTGACCTAGAAAAATTAATTGAGGGACTCAAGTCTCCTGACACTTCTCTTCTGCTCCCTGACCTCTTGCCTATGACAGATCCTTTTGGTAGCACTTCCGATGCTGTAATTGGTAAAAATCACCATCTGTTTCTTCAGCCTGCATGATGTGCATGTGTAGTTCATACTGCTAAGTGCCTGCCTATGAGGTCATTAGCATCTAGCTTCTGGGAGTGGGAAGAAGTGTCCTGAAGTCTCTTGTTTTGGAATTATACCTTGTGCTGACTGGAAGTCAAGGCTGTTTAATCTTACTATCACTCCAAGTGAAGTGTTTTCTGTTTTCTGTGGGCACAGCACTGTAATGATTACCTTTTTTGGTAATCATGAATTCTCAAGTAAATTTCTTAAGAATGAGAAGAATATGGAGAAATTCAATTACAAAAACTTGATGGCCAGTTTTCATGTGGGCCTCACCTTCAATGAATTTGATGGAATTTAATAGATTCTTCTTTAATGCCCCATGTGTGTATCAAGGATCAATGTGTGTATCAAGGATCAATAACAGAAAATACTTTGCCCAGGGGTCAGGTCCCAGGAATAGAATCTAAATGAGGCCTGGTCTGCTTACTCATTTATGTTTTCTTGTGTTTCACCAGCAAGTCAGGCAAATTCTACAGAATGTCCAAGGCCTTTGTACTCCAGAAGAGTTTGTTCATTAGACATAATAAAGCCTTGGACACAAAGTCTCAGAACACTGAAATGTCATGACTCTACTAAAAGATAGGCCTCCAACAATGAGATACCATGTGATAGAGAAAATCTCCCAGCTACATAATGGATGGAATTTGGGATGGATTAGAAGCTTTTGCATTAGATTAGAGGATGGATTTGAGGATGTTTACCTCAATTTTGTTCCTGAAGAAAAGCAAAGTTATCAGAAGAAATTAAGGTGTCTTTTAACCAATCTCTTGTACCATGGAGGAGCTTTGCTGCTTTGAGTGGCTTGCATGCCATATTTATCTGTAAGAGCTGGTAATCAGTAAACTGGCTGCAGTGGTTAACCTTACACATACATGCTCAATCAGTGAAGCCCAGCCTCAGAAAGCAGCAGAAACGAGGTCAGCTATCCTTGCTTTACTTTTTGCCTGAAACTGGCATTTTAGAGACCTGTTAAAGAGAGCCTTCCCAGAATGTCCTGAAGAGCCTTCTGACTTTCTTTCCTTTACCCTTTTCCTCTCCTTTCTTAATTCCCCTTTACAAAAGAAAAAGCTGATGTTGCTGTTGAGAGCCTCATACCAGGATTGGAGCCTCCAGTTGCCCAGCGCCTCCCATCTCAGACAGAGTCTGTGACCTCAAACCGCACAGGTCAGTCAGACAGCTCTGCAGCTCAGGGCTGAGTGAGCCTTCAGAGCTAGACTCTACCTATGCAAAATAAACTTGGTTAGTTCCTCCTAGAGTGGATGCTCTGAATTTTTCTTATACCTCCAGCCTCTTGATGTTGAGTGTCTGATCCCTTACTAAGGACCTCCCCACTTACTGAAGCTATATTCTTCTTAGAGGAATCTCTCTGTCTGCTTTGGCAATGGTGTTTCTTTTCCTAGCATGAATAAGTCCCAGGGTTTGATCACCTGCACCTCAAGAAGGAAAAAAATACTCTTTTTTACTGGTGACAGGTTTCCTCTACCTCATTAATGAAAGAACATTGCTCTGGGGAGTTCCTCTCCTATCTGTTGACATTCTTTTCCCAGCACAGGGTGCCCTCTCCCTCTCCCTGTCCCTCTCTCACTCTCATCCTGGGGCTAGGCACGGTCCCTGAGCTTCTTTTGCACAAGTCCAGTACTCTACCACTTGAGCCACAACACCACTTCCAGCTTTTTCTGTTTATGTGGTACTGAGGAATCAAACCCAGGACTTCATGCATGCTGGGCCAAGCACTCTACCACTGAGCCACATTCCTAGTCCCAGCACAGGGCTTTCATCAGCTACAGGAAATTCATAGGCAAAGTTGAACTCTTGCCTGGATCCAGCATTCCATCTACCCTAATTTCAAAAATTTGTCTTAGTTGAGTTTTATGAAAAGTTGAAAACTCCTCAACTTTTCTATAAAAACAGATCTAGTAATGGCTATTTGCCTTGAGTCCATAATTAGCTTGATAACAATGTCTGATTATCTGACTTGGAATAGAAACAGACATCCAGGAAGTATGGAATAAAATTATCTAGGTGAAGAAAAGAATTAGCCCAGAAGCATTATTGTTTTTTTCCCTTGTCCTCACTAGGGTATTTCTTCTGAAAAATCATCCCAGAAAACAAATGGTTTAACTTTTTTTCTTCCCTCTATTCTTTATTTTTGTGTGTGCTAGTACTGTGGCTTGAAATCAAGGCCAGGCCCTTGTCTTTTAGCTTTTATGCTCAAGGCTAGTGCTCTATCCTGAGTCACAGCTCTACTTCCCACTTTCCAGTAGTTAATTGAGGATAAGAGTCTTACAGAGTTTAATGCGGGCTAGCTTCAAATTGTTATCATCAGATCTCAGCCTCCTAAGTACCTAGGATTACAGGTGTGAGCCACCAGTGCCCAGATTTTCCCCTCTTTAACTGAAAGCAAATCTATGTTCAAAGAAGCAATTCAAATTTAAAGAATCCTTAAGTGGTATTTTGAATGGGAAACTAGTAGTTTTCCAAGGTACTGTTTAATCTCATCACAGTCTATTTATAACAAGTAGTTCCAAAATCTCACTGTATAGTAACTAAACCCTAATTACTAAGTCTTTTTTTCCCTAGTAATATTTGCTGAGAATTGAGTTGCTAAATTTTTACTGGTGTTTGTCACAAATTTATCTAACGAGCAACTTCTAAACTAAATTCTTCCATGTATGTAAATGTTAGAGTAATCACGAAGTACCTGCTTATATGCATTAAAATCTAGAAAGCTTTTCGTATTTCTTTTGATTTTCTTTCTCTTGCATTTGCTTGTATGTATAACCTAAATATGCAGAAACTTAAAGGCTAAGACCTAATCTCATGGTATTGTTGTATATGCCATTTAATGCCATCACTGACCTGGAATGCTGTTAACTGGACTCAGATTCTCTCACTGGGGAAGATTCTCTGCTTGACTGCTCTCTGCTTTCTAACCCTACTGCTGACCTTCTGGAAGAGTTTGCCCCCATAGCAATGTCTGCTCCTGCCCACAAAGGTAAATTCTTTCTTCTTCTAAGGCCAAGATGTTACCCCCCACCCCCCCGGAGAAGAACCAAGGAACTCCTGAGAATTTCCCATATCATAAATGCTAGTACATGTTCGAAATCTCTGTTTATATAAAAACATTACTTTGTACTCCTAGCCATTGTGTTACAATACCTCCCAGACTATATACTAAGCCTTAGGCAACAGATTGATGAAGGTATCATTTTCTGACAAGAACTAGAGTACAGTATTCCATAGACCTTTTATAGGCAGGCCCCTTAACAGCCAAGCACTGATTGTAGTTATTAATTTGATAAAATCTAATTCAAGGATTTTGAGTACTAATTGTCACAATAAAGAAATTAACAAGTCCTCAAATGCCAGTCTCCAAAGATTGAACTTGTGAAAGTTCAATTTTATTTTACCTTTATTGATTGATTATTGAGTTTCTCTTCCTAATCTACAATTTGTACTTCTTAGTCTTAGATTGGTAATTGTTGGGAATTCTGCTGCCAAAGGAAGCTTGAATCAAGTTCTGTGCAGTAAGCTGTCTGTGATGGTGACAGGTGCAATGCCTGGCTTACTGTGCAATAGGCATTTACAGAACCTATTTCTATGCTTGGATGGTGAAGTTTTACAGCAGATCCGTAGAAAAGGAATAGTGAAAGCCTTTTCTGAAGGGAGCTCAAGAAGTAAGCCTTTAGCAATGGCTAAAAATAATCTCATGCTTTGAAGTGGTACAATAGCTGAGATTTTGTGTTTACTCCTGAGAGCACTAAAATGAAGTTTTTATAGAGTATAGGTAGTATAGATAGCCAAGACAATTATGTCTTAGCAGAAGTGTGTCAGCAGCAATGTGTAATTACAGATGAACTTGCAAGATAGGTACTCAGCAGGAACTTGCTGGAAGGTGGCTTTAGTTAGGCTAGTGAAGAATATCCTAACAAACTTCTGCTGGAGTACATGTGATCTTATGCCCCAGAATTCCCTGAGTTCTTTGAAAGTCTTTTCTTTTCCACTTATAGAGCAGAAGTATTTTGTTGGCTTTGTACACAGTGGCTTTTTCTCTTCTGTTGATTTGAGAGGGCATGTAAGAGATTGATGCTGGGATTGTACTCTGAGCCTCACACGTGCTAGTACAGTGCCTCCTTTTTTTTTTTTTTTTTTGGTCCAGTTGTGGGGCCTGAACTCTGAGCCTGGGTGCTGTCCCTCAGCTCTTCAGCTCAAGGCTAGTGCTCTATGACTTGAGCCACAGCACCACTTCCGGCTTTTTTTTTCTGCTTATGTGATGCTGAGGAATCGAACCCAGGGCCTAATGCATGCAAGGCAAGCGCTCTACCACTGAGCCAACTTCCCAGCCCCCAGTGCCTCCTTCTTAACTGCTTATTTTCTTCTCTTCCCCTATACCTTGGCTTTGAATTTTTGAACTTGGTTAGCCAGGCCTCTGTTCATCCAATAAAGAATATAGATGACCAGTTCCAGTGCCTTTGTGAATTAGTGGAATTGAAAAGTTACTTTATATACTTAGTAGGGAGAATTCTTCCAATAATCCATCTCCCTAGTCATTTATGAAAGTCTTAACATGGTCAACTCTAAAGCAATTTTTTCTGATGCCTATTTTCTAGATGCACTGCTTTCATTTCAACTCTAGAAAAATAAGCACTTTCACCTTTGAGAACAACATTGAGTGTTAATTGGTGGAACTTTGTGTCTCTTTCTTGTTCTCTCATTTGTTAATCTCTACCTCTGTTGTTTCTGCTTCTGTGCTTGCATTCTGTATTAAGCTGCAGAAGATAGTAATCTCATCTCAGGTTTTGATGTCCCTGAGGGCTCGGAAAAGGTGGCAGAAGATGAGTTTGACCCTATTCCTGTACTGATAACCAAAAACCCACAAGGTAAGAAGGAGGTTGGGGAAAAGAGAAGAGCTTGACATCAGCTTTCATGGAAGTGATGATGTACTTAACCTGCAAGGTGGTAGCGAGCATTACCATCTAATGAAGGACATTTGAGGCAATACGTGCATTGCAGACAGAGCTAGAGATACTGATAGTGTTATTTTGACGCCTGAATGAAGATGGTGTTTGTTTAGAAAGAAGAATTAATAGTTTGACCAAAAGTTAGTTTTTTACAAAGTATCAAGCCAAAAAGGAAGTTATCTTCAGTCATAGAAACATGAAAGTATATATCAAAAACACAACATTTTTATCTTGATTATAACACTCTGTAATAACTATTTTTCCCAAACAGATTAACAGTGGTATCAGCCACATCTTTTTGGACATTTATGGAGCATTGTTATTCCTCTTTGATGGATTAAAATTTTTGAACATGGCATAAAACACTGAATTGCCATAGGACCATCTACTTATTTTCAAAAGCATGTTCTTTTTTGTAGAGTCTTAATAACTAAAAGCAAAAATTGATTTTTACTTTTAACAGGGAGATAGCTTGATGTTAACAGAAATTCTTAGGCAAAATATGTATGGGTTTGAAAGCTTGTAGTAATTTTGCAAAGTGTCCTGCTCATACTATAGTGTGAAAAGGTGCCTGAACTTCTGGTGGGAGGTGGTGGGAGGTAGCTAATTTTTATGTTTAAAAATCAACATGCAAGTGTTTGCAAATATAAAATGTTGCTTCTGTAGGTTTCTTTTTTTTTCTTCTGTTTCTCCTCTGCTTGCTCTGCACATCTAAACCTTAACCCTCTGTGTTTTGTACTGAATTCCTATCTCTCCACTTCCAGGTGGGCACTCTAGAAACAGCAGTGGGAGCTCTGAGTCCAGTCTTCCCAACCTAGCCAGGTCTTTGCTGCTGGTGGATCAGCTCATAGATCTGTAGCGGTGACCCAGTAGCAGATGCAATTCTGTAACGTTCATACCGTAATATAACAATTTCATTATGGAGTTACGAGAAAATGATTTTTTTTTTAATTCTGCAAATAAGGGGCCCACTAGCCCTTTCTCCTACCTTTGCCTTCTCCTATAGAAATGATAAGGAAAGAAAATCACTTGGCCCTCCAGATATATTCTTTGGCCAGTTCCTCCCTGTTAGTTTGCTGTGCTTTCTCATTACCCTTTTTCAATAGCATTATCTTAAATCAAGCACTAGATACCATGAGCTTCACCTCTGCTGGAATTGGACTCCACCAAAAGCTTAATTGTAATTGAACTGACACCTTTGTCTCATTCTTGCTAGGAATGACCTCCCAAATCAATCCTCTCTGCTTCTGTCCCCTTGGCCAGATGCTGATGAATGTGTTTCCCTGCTTTTACGTTTTATCTAGATGAATTATGAGGATATAGCTTCTTCAGCTAGCTTTAACTCCAGGCAGTAGCTTGGAGATTAGGGTATGGTTTAAGAGAGGGTAAAGCTGGCCGGTTGTATGTATTTGAGAAGAGAAATTGAGGCCTGCCCTAGCCAACCAACTTTGACCTTGTTTGACCATAGACTTAGCCAAGGGATTTTTACACCCCACGCAACCTGCTCAGCATTCGTCCCGCTTTCTGGCTTCCATTGAATCGCGATTTCCCAGATCTGGAGACGTGACTGCAAGTACTTGAGTTCCTTGGATAAAATGTGTATGTTGTACAAATCCTAAATATTACCATTCCTCTTCATGTTACCTGGCCCAAGCTGCGATTTCAGAATTAGACCAAAACAAAGACAGTGGTGGTAATATGATATACCTTTTATTAGAAGACTTTTCACTGGGGGGTGGATGGGAAAGGGAAGGAATTGTAGCAGAAACAGATGTATTTTTCTTGTGATTTTTATTTTGATTCAAATATTGTAAATTGTGTATAAATGAAAACACTGAATAGTTCTGTTCCCACTTGGTGTTTCAAGTCCAATATCAGGTGTCTGTACAGGGTTTCGATCCCTTTCCCTTGTGTAACCACACAGCAATCCTAAGGTGTAACATAAGGAATTATTTTGAGTAGAGTATGTGTCTTGCTATAAGCTTTCAGCAAGTCCTCTGTCTCTGTAGAATTAGCATGTTGTTTATTTTCCAATAATCAGAATTAAGTATACTGACCAGCTGGGCACAATTTGACTGTGGCTACTTACTTTTCGTTCTCTCTGGTGTTTAAATTGATGGCTGCAGAATGTGCTCAATTGGTTTCTTTGGCTTCGTAGATTAAAAAAACAAAACAAGAAAAAAAAAAAACAAAGCATAATTCTTCACTAACCTTAGACTGTTGTTCATATGATAAATAAAGGCTCCTGCCTTGACATTGACAACATGCCTCATGGTCACCCTGTGTATATGTTTAAAGTGTATTTTATTTCCTCACATGGAAAGCACTTTTATAAAATCACCCTTTTGAAAAGAAACGGGCACAGAGAACCCTCTTGTTCTCTTCTTCAAGTGCCATTGTCTATGGTCTAAAGGGAAATCCTTAGTTGATCAGATTTGTACAAATAAAATCCCAAGTCCATTTGCTTGTTGGCTATCTAGTACTTTTGTTTCTTCCTCACATTTGCACTTTAAGGGGGGAGTGGGGGGTGGGGGGAAAGAACATTTAGCAGCAACAAGAGCCTGCAACCACTGTAGTCTGGAGGGCCAGCTTTGCAATGTGAGAGCGGCCTATGAAAAACATTGGAGGAATGGCTGCCTCTTAGTCTTCCTCTGACTTTAACTGTTTCCTGTGCTGGCTGAAACTAATGAGCTAGGAACACATCATGTCCAAAAAACGAGAGCAACAAAAGCTTCCTGCTCATGAAGAGCTCTCTGCAGCTGGGTAGCAGTGGAAATGGGACTTGATTTACCCCTTTATGGAGAGGAAAATTGCTGCAGATTAGAATTGTGTTCTTTTCCTGGCTATAGAAGAATGTATAAAGTAATGAAAGAAATGTTTATTTTTAAATAAGGATAATGTTTAGGTCTATGTTTTCATATTTGATTTTTTTCACACATACATGTTAGAAATACAATGAAATATCTAGTTTCTTGATTTAATTGAAAATTTAAAGAGTAAAGAAATTAGCTAAGTGTCTCTCAATAGCTCCTTTCCTGCATTATTGGTAATTACATTGGGATAGATTATCTAGTCTTTTGGCTCAGTAAAGCTTAATGGAAACAGTTAATGAAAATGGACAGACTTGAAGGCAGAGATGATGGTGATAGACGACTGAGGAAGATAATGACTAGAAACTCTCTTGGACTTATTCTGTAAGAATAAGGCTTCAAAGGGGAGAGCTGTCTGTTTGGTAAATAACTTACGTGTTTTCCAAATCACTCAGGTGATTTAGTAAACCAAGCCTTCCTTAGTTTGTAGCATCATCTCAGCTAAAAGAGTTCATGTGAGATTCATATATATACTAGTAATTTATAGACCTGTGGAGCAACAGACTGAGCTGAGCTGCAAGAGAGACCTTAGGGAGCATCTGCTAGTCCACAGACTTCATTTACAGGGTAGGACCTGAGCTGATTAAGTGAAGTGGTAAGAGAAGAGGTGAGGGAAGGTCAGAACACCTCAGATCTCAACCTGACCTTGACCAGACACTGGCTAAGTGATCCTCAGCAGACTGTTTGCCCTATCAAAGCTGCTGTGAAAGATGGGTTTGGACTACATGGTCTTTTTGATTATAGACGCATAAAGTCCTAAATTTGTATTATGTTTCAAAGGATTATGAGGGATTTATACAATCCTGATGTTCTTTAATTATCCTCTGGATTCCTGTATTACTGTAGAATTATCCAACATTGACATGTTAGAATTATAATGTACTTTTATGAACCTACTTGCTCTTTCTTAGTTATCTGAATAAAAGCCTAGATCATCACAAAGTTTTGGATATAGATTTCCCCTTTTTTAATAACATACATACCTATTCCAATAAACAGTATCAGAAGATTTCTATTCTTTAAAAATGTATGATCAGGGATCTGCCTTTAAATTATAGGCATATACTATCTGCATGGTTATTTTTGTTTGCTTGCTTTGCTTTATAGCATTTCAATGAGATAACTGAATTCAATTTTCTGTGTTTCTAAAAATAAATTTTCTCAGAGGAGATAAGATTCAAAATGGACACATAATAAATGTGATTATAATCATTGTAATTAATTATTTCCTTCACAGACCTAAACAGAATTTTTTCTTCTAATTGGATGTTATTCCCTCAAAGGTATCTGATTTTGCTTGGGAAGTTAATACCTATCCTAATGATGTAGCCTAGCATCATTTATTTTTTAAACTTTTATCCTTAGACATAATATGAAGAAAGGCAATATGGTACAAGAAAGTCAGTTTTACTATCTAATTTGTATGTCTTTCATTATCTGAAAATATATTCTCCGTCTTGGTCTGCTATTTTCTCCCACTTCTGCTTCTGAGTAATGTTAGGCTATTTCCAGAAAGCAAAAACACTCCAATAAATAGTAAAAATCCACACATTTTCCAGAGAGGACTTTATAACAGAAAGTGAACATGGTCAATCTTAATTTCTTTAACACTCTAAGTAAAGGAACTTGTATGTGTCCTCAGTCTTTATGGTTTAGAAAATACAAAGACCGGTGTTTAAAAATATTTCTGAAAGGCTGTCACTTTGTTTCATGTCATTTGATATTGGACTTGGCTTTTCCTGAGAGAACTTAGATCACTAATAATTGGAGAAAATATCAAGAAAAGAACCTATTTTTCTCAAGAAAATTTTCTGTTTCCCTTTAATATTGATGCCCTACTCTCCTGAGAGGTAATTGGTCATTTTGATTCATACTAACAAACTTACCCGTGGTCAGGAATGGTTGTCTTCAGCACTCCTGGGAGAATGACTACCCCTAGGCAGGCAGGAATTCCTGTTTAGCTGAACAAATACATAGAAATCCTGAGCCAAAATAAAATCTCTTGGGATGAGATTTTCCCATGATCTCTAGGAGTCTTTAACTTTAGTC